TTTCTCGTTTAAATAATTAGAAATACGAAATAGTATAACTTCACGACTCTTCAAAATAGAAAAGATACGAGGGCTATTATCAAGATTCTAGCAATGAATCATTAATTTGTATTACATTTTGTCTGTTATAAATAATGTGCAGTCTGAATTGCTTTAACGGCTTGGGTCGATGATAAAGATCAAACTTGAAGATAAAGTAAACACGATTTGCCATAAACCGAGCAAACTGCATGCATGTTTGGCGGTTTAGTCATCCACGAATAGCATTATGGGATTGGGAATTATGAGACCATGGTAATGGAGAAGTATTACGTCATTTGATGATTAACTTTGACAAACATTTAAAAAAAACATTAAAAGTTGGATAACAATGAGTACGATCAAGATAATAGTGTGATATGAGGGAAGTAAATCAGTATATCAAATTTCATCTTTTAAACAATCATTTCATGATGCTACAGTAACCCGTCATTAGTGCTGGGAGGGTAAATTTATAAAAAGAAAACTTTAAAATGACGCTAAAAAACAAACGATTTGTCATAAACGAAAGAATCTTTGTGTTATGGTTTTGAAATGACTGAAATTTAAAGAGTACTAAACAATGTAATTCAAGTTGGGAGGTAAAGTATCATATTGGTTTCACACTAAGTTTATCATTTTCATCATAGTTATTTCTGTTCATAATCATATTTTCGTTTGTCATTATTGTCACTGTTTACATCGTTGTCTAGCGTGAGTCAATAATGTCAGCAGGATATATTCATAATATTTCATCAATGAATATTACATGTGTCTCTGCTGGCAAAAAGAAGTCATAATATGAAAATTACAATCTAAATCCTAAAATTAAAGAAAGAAATAATGTCTAAAACAGATATAAAATATGTATGTACTATGTACATATATACTTTTCTCCATACCTTGTGAATACAAACTCGACACAATAATCCTCTACTTTTTTTACTTTTTACTTCATGTTTCTTAAACCCCGTGTGTTTCCTGAACGATAATATTAAAAAACACATTGTCTGGAGAATGACAGTTGTCATTAAAAGTAGGCAGCCCTATGATTCTGAACAATTCTATTTGGAAATAAAATATAAAGGAAAGAATACCATGTTTAATATATCCATAAAGTATTTTTTGAAGTGTGATCATGTCTTAACTTGACCATAACTATATACATCTTCGTTGATTAAAGACCGCATTTCTCAGTATCTCCTAATATAATTTTCTAAGACATATACTTTTAGAAGAGGCTATGAAAAGATATTATTAAGCTGACTATGATACGTTGTTGGTTTCTTAAATTCTTAGTAGTAAAATGGAAATGCATTTACACGATTGTGACAGACGTGGCGCAATACAAAATATGTTCACTATTATTATAATCAAAATTGTAACGCAGTGGACAAAAAAGTGCAGAAGTTTCATGAATCTGAGAGGGAAAGAAAGGCGGAGACAGAAAAACGCACTACAAAAAAGAGAGGACCAAGAAATCCCGCGCTTTGAACCGACAATCAAAACTTATTAAATATTTTGGAACATTCCCCTATGTTCGCCGTCACGGTGCTAACTCTCGCATTGTTTGTCAGTTTGTAAACTTTAATTTCATTAAAATCAATGTGTTTTATCAATAAACGGCCAGATTGTTGGCAGGAAATTGGCAGGGAAACGTATACATTCACAGTAGCTCGTAAAACCAACTTCTCATGGAGGCAATAACTAATATTTAATATCATTACATAATCTGATGTGGGTACAAACTCATTTACTATGATGTATCGAGTCTATTCAATATCTACGTGATGATGTCTATATAGCATGTTGGTCGCCATTTTGAATCCGATGAGTTTTTAGTTTTTGCACATGCGTTCATGTTCACACCACAAAATGTTGTCATCTTTAAAAAGAGTAGAATAATATGCTGAATAAAATAAACAGAAAGATACTTGAATTGGCTAACATGAAGTGCTTGTATTTATTATCAGACATTGGTCTGTAGTACAAAAGTTGGGTCTTTCTAATAATGGTTATAACGGAAATGAAAGGTTATATTACGCTTCTATATATAATAATAATTGGGATGGGGCCTAATCAAATTCGAAGCCTTGCGAAGGGATTACAAAATATCAATTAAAATGGCGTTGCTCGAAAAGAATGTGTTGATGAATCGTGATAGTAAAGCTTATATAACATAATGTATAATAAAAATAACATTACAATTAAATCTATTATATCAATACACATGTATTTATGGCATATTCGTAATAACAAGTTTATAATTGAACTATTCACCTGATGTTCAAGAAAGCTGAACAGAGGAAGGCAATTCCCAGGCCTTCTGCAAGTGCAATCGAGGTAACATCCATGGTCGTTACTGCCATACATGCGATGAAGGTATATACCATGGTTCCAATGAACTCAGCGAAAGTCGACTGGATGAACTTCTCAAAGACCGATGTCGCCTTCGACAGCTCGACGATGTCGCTGGCATCGATCGAAATTTTGTCGTCTTTTCTGCGCGCCATTTTTGTTATATTTCCACCTGAAATGTATCACTATATATGTTCCAAATAGGATGTTCAGGTAGCAGCACCAAAGTCACCAATTTATCTTAGTGTATTCACCAACAGGTATAATTCGCTTGTCTCAGGTATTACTCCCAAGGTATGCGACGCGTGAAGACAAAAATGGCGGTAAAGTAAACCTTACAAAAACGAGCAAGTTGTCTTGCAGATGTTATAACGGCAACACCCTGGTATTTTGCACGGACGCACACACATCCGTGGTACTCCAATAAACAAGCGGGTTATTGCTGAGGAAGACGCGATGCTATTGGCTAGTTCCGAAGCCATTTGTTTGAAGAGTTGCAAAAGCAAAGTATGCATATTATTAATCATTAACTCAAGATGTTGTTTGTGGAATGTTTGATATATGAGTCTCTGTGTTGGAATTATCAGATGAATATAATTGATCTTCACCTCTCCCTAAAGCACTTCAAATGTTTTCTGTTTGTTTAATATGACTTATATTTTAATGTTGAATCATGCATGTTATTATCTTTATTTATATTCTCCTTTTTCGGTCTCGTCTGGCTTCTTTTTGTGTGTGCATTGATTTGGTTTATTAAAAAAAAACATCATGCAGCTCAGGGACGATGTATGTTTTACAAAGTAATCAGATATTTAATACGTGTATAATACCATCATCAAAATACAAAAGCAAAAACAGTAAAAATGATAACATAACACAGCATTATTATTACACAAACAATACACATCAGTGAGGGCATTAGTAAGAATTTCCCACACATTGGACTGTTTCGAAGGTACTGAGTGTGGGTAATATTATTAATGCCGGAACAAAATGATGTGTATTATTTGTTTTATAAGATGATGTTTTATATGTTTATAAATTGATGTTTTATAGCATGAGTTTACTCAATAGTAAAACTACGTGTTACTGTTAGGCAATGCCTGGTCACGTGTACGCTCTCAACCAGGATCGGCCTTAATTATCATCTTATAAAAGAAGATAATTCCTACCGACGGTCCACTGGAAAACGACAAAGAAATATCTCGCCTGATAATCATATTGCTTTGTTTTATCGGTCTATAGCAGGCTGTCAGTCTCATGGGCGTTCGGTTTCGTGAACCCTTTAGAACTTTGTCCTTGTCGTTATGTTCTAGTATTTTTTTTTGTCGGCCTCGATCGCGGGCTGTCGGTTATTTCATCGGGTATTGAAAGTTTGTCTCCTTGTTACATCAAAACAATTATCTTATCGACCATTAAAATTAAGAAGATGCGAAGGGGCAGCGACATCGATTTGGGAAGGGATCGCGTTGGTTTGGAATTATCGGATATTTATGTATTTGAAAGAAGGAGTATGAATGATATAAAGACTCCATCATTCCAGTATTTGGAAATATTCGTTTTGTTATCAGTGTCCTACGTTCATTCAACAGTGAGTCAGAAAATTGAGGGATTAAACATTAACAGACGAATCGCGTACCAGGAGTCTATGGTCACAGTTTCTGTGGAACCAAACACAGTTAGTTAATGATTAACTTCTTCTATTTGTTTGCATAATATTTTGAAGAGCTTCATATAGTTCATCATGTCTGCTCATACTACTCCGAACCAGACGTTGTATACGAATTATGGTGGCGCATTTTGTTTACTCAATGAGGTCATTAAAGAAAGAAAATGGTATTTAAAGTTCGATTTAAAAAAAAAAAGTGTTTTAAAGGTACGTAAATTAACAGGTCAACCATTAGAGTGATTATTATAAACTTTTCTTTGCAGTTCATTTCATCACTATCGGGTGATCTACACTTGGAACATGGTAAAGATTTTGTTAGGCTATTATTAAGTGATACCGTACTATGAGCCCTTATAATTTATAGCTTGGATCAATTTTGATGCATACACATTTGACATTATTTTGTCATTAACATAGATTTACGTAACACTAGACTAGACCGCCAACCAACTAATATTTTAATAGTAAAAAAAATGCTATATTTTATTTCCGTTTGAAGATAAAACTACAAAGATTTAAAAGACAATTATCTTTTTCATAAAGAATACACAAGTTTTTGGAAGATGTCTTGTTTGAAGGGGAAATAACAACATTTTCAGGATTTCTCAATCCTCCCTTTCTCTCACATGGTGCTCCCGCAAGCTTACTGTATAATAAAAAAAGATTTAAAGATAATTTTTATTCAGGTGAAAAATGCAAAAGTTATTGGCAGCGGTGGGATTCGAACCCACGCCATCGAAATGACTGGTGCCTTAAACCAGCGCCTTAGACCGCTCGGCCACGCTACCTTGATGAACGAGGTGACGCTTTACAGTTTATAATCCGTGCAAAAAGTTATAACTGCGTGCATGTGTACGTATCACAGTCGCTTCATTATTATTACAGTGTAGTCCCATATACCAACTCGGCGGTTGGCTAGTTTATGTAGGTCTGTACTGTATGCGCTAGTGCAATTGAGGACTTCGAATTCGGATGCCATTTGGTCACAACAACAAGACAGATATTTAGCCCTTATCGTAAATTGCATTCTGTTCATTTCTTTTCAAGTGACGAGCATCATGATTAGACGTGCTAGCTGCATTCTTTGGCGTCAAAGACACTTTTGCACCACCCAAAATCTGCTAAATGTGGGACATTTCCAGAGCAATTACAGTTTGAACAAATTATATCCACACAGTGAGCAAGACATCACAATTTCATGTAGAAAATCACATGAGGTAAGACCGACAGCTTCTAGTTTTAGCTTTTGAAAACAAAGTGTATGTACCATATCTTAGGGTCCCCCATCATACAACATAGGGTCTATTTTAGTTTGATTTTCTATCATTTTGTGTGCAGTGGATGGATGTTAAAAAAATAAGATTTTGTGCACATTTCATTTGAATTTAGAAATTAGAGTCCAGTCCTAGACCTATACTAGACCTAGTCTAGACTTATTCTAGGCCCCTATTTAGTTTACAAATTTTTCATTGTATTAAATAAATTTGTTGAAGAGGGGCTAATTGGAAGTCCATAATTTGGGCCATAATTTGCTAATAGTAATGAACTAATATAATTATGAGACTTTTTAATTGCATTCTTTATTATTTATATTCAGACTGCAGATCAGAAAATTGAGTCAAAGTTCAGTGGACAAATTCCAGTTGGTAAGCTTATGTGTGTGCGTGTGCGCTGAGTAAGACTGAAACCTCTGATTTTTTATCTGTTTTGCAGGTTGGTCGTCTTTAATTTTTACTCATAATTACCCATGGGAACCAATTAGTGGTCTCTGTTTTAAATATGCCTAGAAAGGGGGTCTAGCTATAATGAGTAAATATGAGAAAAACAACATTCGCATGTCAATTGGTTATAATCTTCCTTATATAATTATCAATTATCCCTTTCAAGACAGGATTTATTTTAATTAAGGGCTTTTTTCTTCAAATTAGCACCAATTATCTTTCTTCTTTTATTGCTCTATTGTTGAAATAAACCAGTTTCTCTGAAAACAATATATATACATGGGTGGGCATTTTGTCGAAAAAATTGAAGAAATTTTGATAAAAAACAGGGATTTTTAATCTCTCAATGTGTCAATGAAAAAGGAGGTTTGCTGTTTTTTTTTATGATGGAGGAATATACATGTATAGATACTTCACACTTAAATCTGTTCAAGTTATCATGATATGTTTTGGTTTTATTTTTGTTGTCTTTGATATTTCTTTCAGATAAATTGCTTGTAAAGTACAGCAGGAGTGGTGGAGCAGGGGGTCAAAATGTACAGAAAGGTAATGAGTCAACTCCCTTGGACAACTTTTTCTCTCAACTTTGAAAATTAAGCTAAAAGTGCTTTACAAAAGTAATCCATGTCTTTAACATGATAAATAATGATGTCCCTGTTCTGTGGCAAAGACATTTGCCTATTATTTACCATTTATACCCTAACTATTTTTTTGAGTTATTTTTCAATGGAACAAGATATGGGTAAAATGTAAAAAGTATTGGAAATCTTTGGGAAGGTTAGAGTGTTTTTACTTCAGGAAAGAATGATCAATGATAAAGTGATGATACTTTAAAACTACTCACAGTTAAAGTTCTTTAAAGTAAGCCCTTAACATTTCCTTCATAGTCATACATGTAGATTTTATTAAATTTTGTATTAGAAGTATTTCATTATAAATTTTACTTGTGTGATTTATGGAACGAGAAAATGAAAGAAAAAGGCTTTGTGATGTGATTGAAAATATTCTCTTTTGGATATTGCATCAGCTATCAATTGATGCATTTAGTTAGTTGATTATGTTTGAATTATTTTTTTTTTAAAAAGAGGTGTCATCAAAGTACCATTATTTTCTGATTATTTTCAAAGAATAAGATATAATCACTACACAAAAAATTAACTACTGTAATGTGTGGAAGATAAGAAAAAGAATACCAAATAAAGTCTGAAATTAATTTGAGACAGTTATTCTGAAACTTAAGTTCAGTAAAGTCAAACTATAAATAATACAGGAGTTATGGAGTTAAGATTGAAATGATAAGCATCTTTGTTTGATTTATTTGTATTGGCCCACATGATATAAGCCCATGGTTATATATGTAAATCTAAATGATGGTTATCATATTTTTTCAGTTACTAAGAAAGCCTTCTATAATGTATACGGGTAGTGATTAGTGCATGCTCTCTTCCTTGTTACATAGTGGAAACAAAGGTGGATGTCCGGTTTCTTGTTGCTACAGCAGAATGGCTGCCTCAGAATGTGAGAGAAAAATTGCAAGTTCAGGTAAATTGTCTCCTCCAAGAATAATTTATTACTAGATCATTTGAATGAGATGCATTGAGTACACCTGTAGCTTGATGACTTGGTGAATACACAGTTTGACAGGCTGTCTTGCATTTTCAATTTGAACTTGAAAGCTATCTGCCTGTAGATAATCTCTACCTCATTCTCATTGGAAATGTATTGCTGATGTAAATAAAAACAAATAATCATCTCATTCATCTGCTTTTCTGTGGCAGTTGGACAACAATAATAATAATAATCTTTTAAAGTCCACTCCAAATTTCATTAAACTGAGAATGGAAATTCTTTTTGCCCAATTGATGGTGAGCCCGGCAGCCACTGAGCAGCGCCAGATCGACGTTGCTCTATCCCTTATCGTAGAACGCCAAACAAGGTAGCAGCAACTCCCATCTTTTAACGTCTTTTGAAGATTTTTTGGTATTACGCGGCTGGGGTTCAAACCCACGACCTACTGGTTGTGAGGCAATATACCATTGCCTCTGTGATCTTGGGGGCCATACTATCCCCAAGAGTACCTCTGCAATGATAATTTGTCCTATCACCAGAGTAGTCTGTAATTATTGGCTTTAATAATACAAGAGGTTTCAATTTCTGGTGCTAAGTTTAAAACAAAAATCAGAGGTAAAAATGCCAGTGGTAAAAACGTCAGAGGTCAAAATGCCAGTGGTAAAAACGTCAGAGGTAAAAAAATCTGCAGGGGCCGAAATGCCAGAGGTAAAAATCATTATCTCTGGAATTTTTACAAATATTACCCCAGACATATTTATCTGAACCTAATTTTCAGAGCTTATTTTTTATTTTTTTAAATTTCTATAATACAGCAAAAAAATAAAATCAACAGCAGAGGTGAGATGGTGATTGTGTCAGAGCGAACGAGATCACAGATCAGGAACTTCAGCGACTGTCTTCAAAAGATCCGAGATATGGTAGCGGAGGCAGAGCGAAAACCTAAAGAGCCCAGCGAAAAGGACAAGGCTGTCAGGAGAATAAGGTAAGATGGCATTGCAATACAACAAATTGTTTTAGTTGAGTTTTGAGTTACAGATTGAAGTTTGAAGGTAAATTTATTAACTACCCGGTAATTCAATATGTAATTACAGGGAACGAGGTCTCTTAGTAATATATTTACATCGGTAAGTATAATGTTCGTTTTGGGAGGATGGGGTTAATTGTTTGATATTCCACCCTTTCACACTTCGAGTTGATGAGGAGGAATTCTCTATAGATATCTTTCGAATAGAGAGTAAAGAGACTTGTCATTATTCAGATTGTTATTATTCAGTTTGATATATTTTCATGATAATGGTTTTAATCTATCATTTTACTTCTTTTGTTTTTATACTGACTTGATAAAAAAATAGTTACAAATGCCTCAGTGAATACATTTTTTGAACTTTTGAACTTATTGGCCATGACATTCCAACAGTGTACATTCACCCCAGTTCAGAAGAGGTCATATCTAGAGATTTTCTGACCTACGAAGTCAATATCAAACATTCTTGTATGGTAGGTTTCATTTAGTGTTGTAGATTTCATCTATTGTTTCTCCTTGGCATGTCAAACAAACATAGTTAATATCCCATTTTTCTCCTGGATAATTGACTATGATTGACAGGTTAGTTATAGACAAATCAAACTAGTCTTGTGAGGACAGGTTATTGCTAAAATAAAATAATACTTTGCTGGTGTTAAATTTGGGTTAAATATAGAAAGTTTCTGTTGAAGTAGACTAGAGTTAAATAAATTATGGTTTGAGAATTTATGTGAGTTGCAGAGAAGTATCGTTGTTTTCAACCTACTTCCTCTGCTGAAATGAATTATGGTTGTGTAGACTAATTTAGAGTCTTGGACAGGTTTTTAAAAGTTTGTTTGCTAAATTAATTCAGCATTTGCAAATGAGTGTATGTAGTTGTAGTAAGTGCTTGTAGCTGTATTAAATGGTTGCATGAAAATGTATACCACTTGCAGCAAAGTTCAAAATAACTTGTCATGAACCATGATTGACTATGAAATATTAAAATGAAAATTTAATAAGGATCTCAGATTTTAACCTTAATCTTAATTTGTTGCCTTTTGAATGGCAATAAACATTGTCGCAATACAATGTGTTATTTTCACATTTACCTTTTTCTGAATTTTTCAGAGATTTATCTAATATTGAACTCTACTTGAAGGGGCATGTCAGAGGTTTGTTCTGTATTTCAAAACACTATATTTCTTGCACCATCAATACCAAACCTTTTCTCCACAAATCTTGAACATTTTTTCACACCAAGTTTTTGAAAATCTGATGTACCGGTAGGTATTGCTATTCTGAAATACAAAGTTAATACTCCCTTGGAACGAACTGATACATACGTGTACAATAAATTTCATCGTAAGTTGAAATCTGATGGAATTTATTTGGAATTTTCTTTCTATTCTCTTCCTACCATTTTAGGGTGGAATCTGCAAACAGAGAGCGATTAAGAGGGAAGAAGGCACACTCTGCTACCAAGCATGAAAGACAAGTCTCCTTCGATGATTGAATGACATAGGTGAACAGTTCGTGGAAAACCCATTGAATCAATCAACACTGTAGGAGGGACTTTCAGACAAAAAAACATTTTTCAGGAAACAAAGATCGGATGCACTGAAGTGAGCTTGGAATATGTTTGTTTTGTATGAGAGATGGATTTCTCAAAATGTCTGAGCAGCAAGGATTGTACGAGCAAAAAAAAAATCTCTGGGATGACAACAAAAACACTGGATGACAACGCTCGATGCCAGGACCCCCGAAGCCAATTATTATGAAATTCTTTTCAACTTTCTTTTTTCTGATTCTAATCTCTTTTTTTTGGGGGGGGGGGGAGGAGGTCTTAGGGTTGATAATACAGATGAAAATTGATCATTTCTAGGGAGATTGTATGTACTATTTACAGACATCATTAAAACTAACTGAAGTATTTGACATGTCTTTGGTATGTTTTTGATGGATTATATTATTCATATACTTCCACTGTACATGTATTTACTTGTCAGAGTCTTAACTGATTACTGAGCATTTTACAGGAAAGGAGAGGGAGAAAGAGAGATGAAAGGAGGAGAAAGGGAATGAGAGAGAGAGAGAGAAGAAAGGTGGAGGAGAGTGAGAGAAGAGAGGAAGAAGAGGGTGGAAAAGGGAAAGAGAGACAGAAAGGGGGGGGGGGGGGGAGTGCGAGAGAAGAGAGAGAGAGAGAGAGGAAGGAATGGGTGGCAGAGAAGGTGAAAGAGAATAGAGGGATGGAAGGAGAGAGAGGGGCAGAGAGAGGATAGACAGAGATAGAGAAAAAGAGACTGAAAGAGGAAGGAGTTAAAAGAGAGAGAGAGAGAGAAGGCAGACAGGGAGGGTTGGGGGATGATGGAGAGAGACATCGGGGAGGGATAAAACAGTTTGAAATGATGCAGCCTTTGCCCTTCATCAACACATGCTTCACTCCAGCACTTCATTACTCATTTATAATGCTCTTTAAGTGAATTATATGTAAATATTCTACAGCTCAGTTTCTTTCTCATTTCATGATATGACATAAATGTTGAGGGAGGGCAAAGTACGTGTTTATTTGCTTTCATTTGGCAGAAGCAAAGATATGGCATACATGAAGCTTCCGACAAGAAGGAACTGAAACATAATACAAGTAGACATTTTGCATGATATCAAAATTTAATTTAATTTTCTGTTACCTAGCATAGAACATTTTAATGAATACAATAAATAGAATATATATTTTTATTACACAGGAATGCCTAAAGTAACTGTAGAGAAGCATACAATGCCATGGAAACTGGTGACAATCCAATCATTCCAACTCGGGGTTGTTTACTTGAGTTTAAAAAAAATAAAATATTTTCATGAAATTCATTGTAGCTAGCGCTGTCCCCCTCCCCCCCCCCCCAAAAAAAAAAAAACCTACCCCAAGGCCCAGGTATTCAAGAAATACCAACAGCGATATTTGGCACAGATATGTTTCCTCTGATGTGATTTTTGCAGATCAGTATTATTTTATACATAGTTTTTGAAGAAAAAAAATCGGGACTCGAACATCACTGCACCTGTCACCAGCACCCTCACTAGTAAGAATTGTGTGGGATTCTACACATGACTTTCAATAATTACACAACGGTGATGATCTCAGAAATGTTAAAGCTTGTTTTATACACACATATAGTTATTAAATAAGATATATGGTTTTCCTTGTTCAAAGGACACTTCAGTAATGAATCGATAAATTACATCGCCAAAGAGCAATTCAGTAAAAATGAAAAAAATAATACAAAACAGAATGCTTTCTCTGCAATTAATATACAAATGATGCATGCGAATGAGAACATTATACGATCTATCCACACTTGGAGTTGAGGCATTATGCATCTATCAATAGGTGTATGAACAGCCTCAACAAGAGCAGAAAGATCCTGTAATGAACGAAGGAAAACGTGCATCATTTGTTTTTAATGTGTTATACAACAAAACTCCTAGATCCTTATTAAATAATGTGGAAAAGAATTCATGTCATTGTCATATTTGGGTTTTGTGTTGTACCCAGAAAACCACAGTTTTGCCATAATTCTTTTAGCAAATTTTGGGCTCCTAACACTTCAGAGGGGCTTTAATACAGCATGCAATGAACTTCTCCATATTTGTTAGTACTGAAAACACACTATTTAAAAAAGAAGAACCTAAATTATTCACTGTCATCTGACATCGCCGTCCCTATGCACGTAATTTCTAACTTTTCTCTTGGGAGGCTGCAGCTGGGGTTGTACCCTGCCAGCGGCCATGGCAGATAGCTCTGATTTGGTTGAGGGTTTTGAACCTCTGACCTTGTAGTGGGTGCTATGGCCAGCAACCTCTAGGCCTCCTGTGCTGTGGTGCTGGCGGGCGTGGCTGCTGGATGGGATGGAGGGGTGTGGCTCCTCGGGTATAGGGGAGTGGTCTGTGAATAATGCAGATACAATGTGATTACAAAACCATTCAAAATTGAATTAAGACAGACTACTCTGAAAGAACATAAATAAGAATCAGCAAAATATTTGGCTACATAACTATTCATTGACAATCCATTAAAATAGATGAGAGGTGACCATCCTCCAAAAAAGTTTTACGCAGTACATGTTTGCATAAATGGACAATGAAACAAGAAGGTTTGGCCAAGAAAATTCTTTATCACTTTAGTATACTTCCACTATACTTTATGCAAGTTTTGTTCTGATCAGTGCTTTTAATAATGTTATTTACTACTTTGGTGTGCACCTCTATAGGTAGCCTCTCTCATTTTGAGCTCTGTAATTTGTTTCATTTTTCACCAATTTTGGTTGGATTTAGTATGTGTATTTTCAACATTGTGTTTGATATTGGTCAAGGAACAGAGGTAATCAATTTGTAAGGTGTATTTTGGTGTGAATTTGCAGTATTTCTGTTAAGTTTAATGTTTGATGTTCTTGTTCAATTTTACTGTACAGGCATGTGCATAAGCTTTACTGGTACTTTGCTTGTATGCCATTTGAATGTACTGACATTCACAATAGTCTCTTTTGTATGCTCCTTTTGTGTAAGCTATTCCTGCTTGTACAATGGATGGAAAGCCATTGAAAGTGTTGTTTTCTATAGGGCTTGTTATTTCTATTCTGTACACTTTGAATCAGCCCTATATAACCAAGGAATGTTTCACTTGTACTGGCTCACACATGAAGAGCCTCCACTGTAAACATCTCAAATATTGTAGTCAACCTATACTATACTACTGTAATTCGACAGCTACATTTCGATGTCTCCTTAATTCTGGAGATGTCCAGCCCAATCCTGGTCCAGTGAATCGCACTGAGAATGTTTCCAATATTGGCCATACCAACTCACCTCCTTATTCAGCTGATTGTACAGCTTTACATATTTCATACAACTTGAATGATCTCCATCAGATTAATAACCAGCCGCTTAATTTACTACCCATGAATGTTTGGAGCAGGATCTGCGATCTTGGCATCGGTCGCCGACGTCGAACTCATCGCGGACGTGGGCGGCGTACGATAGCCTCAAACTTGGCCTTTGGAATGCACGTTCCATGACCAATAAAACACACGCAATTACTGATTTGATTGTTGAACATGATCTAGATGTTCTAGTCATCACCGAGTCGTGGCTCTCTGGAGACAGTAAGAGGGATGGTCTCATATTAGCTGATCTAAGATCTGGTTTGCCTAATTATGATATCACCCATCGACCCCGGTTATCTTCCAAGGGCGGTGGGATTTTGCTTCTCTATAGATCCACGGCTCGCTGTACCTTGAACAACAACAATGATTTTACATCTTTTGAATTACTGGATGTCACACTCAATCTGACACCTTCATCTGCTGTAAGGTTGTACTGTATTTATCGACCACCCCCGTCTGCCAATAATAATCTCTCCAACGGCACATTCTTGGATGAATTTCCAACTCTCCTTGAAGGTGCTGTTGTAGATGATCATTTTCCTCTATTATTGGGTGATTTCAACATACATGTTGATGATCCCAATGATAATTTTGCAAAATCTGTTATGACATGTGTTGATTCGTTAGGGTTCAAGCAACATGTTCGTGAACCAACCCATCGCGCAGGTCACACTCTAGATTTGATTTTCACAAGGAATTCGGATGATGTCTGCAACGTGAACTCGCTATCTTCCATGCCTTCCGACCATTGTGCACTTGTCACCACTGTCAATATCGCAAGGCCGAAGAATCCCAAGAAAGAGGTTTCCTTCAGGAAATATCGCAGCATTGACAAGGACTCTCTACGCAACTCTATTGACACGATGTTCCATTCACTTCCTGATCTATCTTGTCCATCTGCTTCCGCGGAGCATTACAACTCATCTTTGCGGACGTTGATTGATGAGCACGCTCCAATCCAGGTCAAGACTGTATCAATCAGACCTGATGCGCCATGGTTTACCGATGATATCCAGGAAGCCAAGAGGCGAAGGCGTCGTGCGGAACGTCGTTCGATCAAGTCTGGACTTTTTGTTGATAGAGAGCTGTACCGCCGTGAATGCGAGTCATATTACGAGTGCATCTTCAATGCGAAGTCAGCGTATCTCAAAGATCTCATCAAGAATGCTGACACTAAAGAACTGTTTCGTCTTGTGAAGACACTCTCAACGCCCACTCAATCTTCACCTCTTCCAGATCATTCTTCTGATAGTGAACTCGCCAACAGATTTGCTACATTCTTCAGGGAAAAAGTCGCCAAAGTTGTATCCTCTTTCCCTAATGTAGTACCAGCACCAGCTTCAAGATCTTTTGCTTCAGGCCCTCGTCATGAACTCTCTGATTTCTGCCTTGTATCCCTCTCACAAGTCAGGAAGCTCATCACTTCACTTCCTTCTAAACACTGTAAGCTAGATCCGATTCCTACCTGGCTTCTAAAGGAAGTCCTCGATGAACTCCTTCCTCACATAACCAAACTGTTCAATCTCTCGTTATCATCCGGAATAGTTCCAGAGTCTTTTAAGACTTCTCTGCTTCTTCCCCTCCTAAAGAAGCCGAGTCTCGACACGAATGGACTTAAGAACTACAGGCCCATCGCAAACCTGCCATTCCTTGGGAAGGTTTTGGAACGTATTGTGTCACTACAGCTGAAAGCCCACATTGACAATCTCGGTTTGTTTCCAATCCACCAATCTGCCTATCGGAATCATCATTCTACTGAGACTGCAACTGTCAAGGTCCTAAATGACCTACTTCTAGCTGTAGATAAGGGTAATGAAGCTGTCCTCATCTTGCTTGATTACACTGCCGCATTTGACACTATCAACCACGACCTGTTACTCCATCGCTTAGAGAACGACTTCTCCATCACCGGCACCGTACTTCAATGGATTAGCTCCTATCTCATGCACCGAACTCAGAAGGTGATCATCAATGACACCAACTCGGAATCATTTCCCCTCATCTGCGGCGTTCCTCAGGGTTCCGTGGTCGGCCCCCTCCTGTTTATTCTTTACACCAGCCCTCTCTCAAATGTTATTAACCTTCATCAGAATATTCAACACACTATGTATGCAGACGACACCCAGATTTATGTAACTCTTCACCCAAACAGCAGGACAGTAGCCGCGAACAAACTCACCAGTTGCCTCAATGAAATCAAAACCTGGTCTTTTCAAAACTGTCTCTGCCTTAATGATTCAAAATCTGAAATGATTCATATTACTTCTAAATTTCGGAACTCAGACCCCTTTCCTGATCTTGTTATGAGTGATGGCTCTCTCAGTTGTTGTGCTTCTGTGCGTGACCTTGGTTTAAATATTGACAGCAATCTTACTTTCAAACAACACATTAGTAATATTTGTAAGTCTGCTTCCTTTGGTATATATAAGATCAGTAGAATCAGGAGGCTACTTGACCGACCCACAACTTCAAAATTAGTCCATGCTTTTGTCTCGACCCATATCGATTACTGTAATTCTTCTCTTTCTGGCCTCCCTCAGTCACATCTAGTCCCACTTCAAAGGGTACAGAATAGCGCTGCTCGGCTTGTGACTCTCTCGCGTAAATCAGAGCACATAACTCCAATATTGAACTCACTACATTGGCTTAAAATTCACCACCGCATATCCTTCAAAATTCTTCTCCTGTGCTACAAAGCTATCAATGGCTTAGCCCCCTCTTACCTTTCCGATCTCATATCCTTACGTTCCCGTACGTCGTCACGAACACTTCGTTCATCTTCCACATTACTGTTAACACCTGGACCCCGCACTAACACCCGGTATGGTGACCGCGCCTTTTCAGTTATTGCCCCCGCTCTCTGGAACAAACTGCCCGCCTTTATTCACTGCGCCCCCTCTGTATCTCAATTCAAATCTCTACTCAAAACCTATCTTTTCAAATTGTAAATTGCAGTTGTGCGTCGGTCAATGGAGGTGCGCACCATATTTGTCTTTATTTAGTTGATTGCCACTGTTTTTCTTACCTTATCTATGTTACTTTTGTATTTTTGCTCTTTCTTCTAATTTAATTCTACGGGTTATAGTCTTCTCTTAATCAGAACACTGTGCGCTTAGAAACATCAGTATTAAGCGCCTAATAAATGTTATGTATTATTATTATTATTATTATTTACAAAATGGTCCTTGTATCAAACGCATTACTGTTCTGGCATTCTAAAATGCCACTGTTTCAGAATCCACAACTTGCCTTTAAAAAGTGAATTCTGTTTAGTAGTTCTGTGGCCTTTTTTAAAAGGTGTGAACAAAATCTTTATTTTGCAATCAAGGTATTGTTAGGGTCTACCTGGCTTGCGCATTGGAGAGGGTGATCTGAAGAATAGTGGGCTGGCGCCATCATCCAGAAGACGCCACACATCTTGCATAGACTCCTCCCCTAGTGATGACATCATTAGTGGTGTGTGCCTCTGACTGGCTGAGGAATCACTGCTGGGGGCCTCCCCCTCAGAGCTGTGTGAGTGCCGCAGTATTTGTGGAGGGGGATTACCTATGAAAGCAAAAATAGAGACTTGATAACATCTGATAATTCTCTACTAATAAGTTTCTAGACTTACGGAATCCCCTTCGTCATCAAGTCGATAGCAAGTTTTTAGGTCAACAAATTCTGATTTTCAAAGCTGTAGATTTGGAGTTTTCAGAGATCTGTTTCTCCTCTGACAAACACTAAAATGGCATATAATTGATATTATTTTAATATTTCAACTTTCTGTTGATATATCCACTTCATTTTGCAGATCGGATATGGTCTTTAACAGCTCTTTGCCCGTTTGGTAAACAAAGTGAGGCTTAACAGCAGAATACCCCACCATGCATATCAGGGTTAGCATTAGGGTTAGGTTGATGGTTAGGGAACATAGGGTTAGGTTTACTTGTGTGGTACGGTATTCCTCTATTGTTCCAAAAGTGACAAAATAAATTCTTTATCTCAGTTTTTATGTTTCATCAAAAAGAGACCATATTATCAATTGAAATTTAACTGGAAATTTCTAATGCTATGTATCAAACAAAAGTAGAGCTATCAGAGATTGAAAAAAGTAAGTAATTGTGTTTGTGTCAGAGATACAAAGTTTTGCATTGCAAAATCTGTTACAGGTATATCTACCTCATTCACCTTGAGCTACCGATTCTAAATACAAATAATTTCTAATACATGTATCTTACCTTGTGAATGGTTGCTTTGAAGAGGTTGTGTGTCTTCAGCATGTGCAGCTATCCTAGGTGTGATCTCTGGTGTTGAATCCGATGATGAGCTTAGCTGTACCTGGACAACATCGGCCACCCCTTCATTGTGACCTCTTCCTCTGGCAAACTGCAATTCCTACAGCAGGAAAAATATATATCAAAAGACATACTTTAAGTGTAATTCCATGACTACTTACAGCAAAGATTATCAAGTCCCATTGAAATGATACCTTGTATTGTGTAACAATAACTTTGAAAATAAAATTCACGTTAACGAAATGAGTGGAGTTCATTAGAACACAATTTATCTTCCTGCATAAACATACATTATACTGTATATTATGCAAATTATACTCCTAAAGCTGCCAATATGAAACATAAAAAGAATCATGATCCTACCTGCTTTGTGAGGACATACTGGAGCTTCTCCAAGTTCTGAAGCTTGGAAGAGACCTGCTCTGCCAACTTCCCTGCCGTCATGCTCCTCTCTCCTACAGCTGACCTTTGACCTCTTGAGGGCTGGGGAGCAGGTGAAGGTCGGTAGAGGGCGAGTTCTGATCGTAGTCGATTCCCCATCTCCATGAGCTTTTGTTTCTCCTTGGCTAGCCGACTGATGTGATGTGCTGCCGTCTTGAGTTTGGCTTGCAGCTGAAAGGCAAAGAATCATCATGTAAGTATACTACACTACACTGATTGATTGATGTATTCCAAGACATAATAAATCTGATAGATCATCACTGAAATGATAAACAAAAGCAATTACAGGAAACTTTGCATACCTGTAAGTCGAATCTGCTGATACTGTAAAGTAGTTTGACTTATTTCAGAATTCGACCTAGGAAGGGTAGATAACACGTTTAGCTAATTTTGGTAAAACAATAAAATTGGTTCATCTTAGGGAAAATCTGACTAATATCTGTATAGAAATTGATTTCAGGAGGAAAATACTAAAATGTGTATTTCTTTCTGTATACCGGTATTTTTTAAAACCAAATTATTATTTTTTCAACTACATGTTCATCTCACTTTACTCTCCTTCTTATTTTTTAATATGTTTCTCTTCTTCCGTCTTTGTATCCAATCCAGCAGTCTTTCAAATTTGTTGCTCCATCCTTTGAACATTACCACGCTTTTTTCCACTTTGATTTTCCTCTTCATCTTCATCAATTAGGTGTTATTTGCTTACCCCATTAATGTCTGTGTTCTCATCATCTCCTGGTTGAGATCTGACTCTGGCCAGTTGCGCCCTCAGGTTATGCACCTCTCTCTGAAGCTGTGTCACTAAAGCACTCTGACAAAATGGAAATTATAGGACACATAGTAAGAACACACTCGAAAACATGTGAAAGATATGGAATTTTATATATTTCATGTGATCTGGGAGAAATATTACTTCAGGTAAATGCATGAAATGATATTCAGATTGATGAAAATTAAAATGTAGTCAGCCAGAGATATTGTTTGGTTCTACGTATTAGCTTCAAAATCTTGCGCTATAATATATAACACAGAGAGAAGAAATACTGTACATGAGAAAATGAGAAGGAAAAAGAAAAACGAGAACAAGAAAAACAAGAAGAAGAAGAGTGAGAAAAGAAAAAAGAGTAGAAGGAACGAAGAAGAAGAAAAGAATCAAATGAATCTAAAACCCATTCAAAAGAAATGAAACGAGTTTCAACGTTGATGGTTGATAAAGAGTAACCTTAAGTATGTACGTAGCAACTAACCTGAATCCCATGCCTGCTTGTTGTACCTCGTCCAGCAAGATCCATAGTCAGTGCAGAAACCTGGCATGAAATAATTTAATATAATTAGTAATCAAACACGTTGTCGGCATTTGTCACAAACCGAAAAAAATCCTTTTGCATAAAAGTACAGTGTTTCAATAAGTTAGTACATTGTGATGTGTCCACTAGTGAGCAGAAGAATGATAATGTAATATACAGATAAGCTATAAACCTGACAAGAGATACCAGTCAGAATTTTGGTTACATATAGAGGCATAAAGAGGATTTTTGTGTAATGATTTCAATTCAATATGGCTAGTTCTAAACAATTTAATTTTATAAATGTAATGCTTCCTGGGAGAAATTTCAATTATTACATTTATAAAAAAGTTATTGTCCTATGGCGGACTAATGAATATTAATGAGTCAGAATAAATCAGGAGAGCTTAGGTATTTGTTCTAGTTCATCGTGACTGTGCCATGGACCAGTGATGGCCTGGTGGTAGAGTCGCTGCCCGGCAAGCAATAGATGCAGGTTCAAGTCCCGCTGGTTCCAAGATTTTTTCTGACTTGTTTTTCAATACAGATCGATCAATCGATCTTATTTACTGGGTGTAACCCACAAATATGTTTAAATGAAATTTAATTTTATGATTTGAGTTTTGAAATTATGATGAGAAATGGTAAAACAAATATTAAGTAAAACAGAATAAGGAACGTAGATGATAATAAGGCTTCCTGAGCCTCGATTCATAAAAATGAAACATATCTACGTGTTATAAAGATTGTTTATAGTCGGATAACTTGCGATTAAATACTTGAAAATATATTGGAAACAAATCATGAAATTATTATATCAACATTTGAAAGCAGTTACTGAGGAGAATTTATCCATAGAGCACCTCTGTCAAAATAAAGAAGCTTAAACAGGACAAGAAATAATCATAATAATGAATAGAGAAGAAGGAGGCAGATACACAGAGCACGAAGAAGGATTGAGTAATTAAGGAGTAGAACATAAAGGAGAAGAGAGGAGAGAAATAGAAGGGAAGATGTGAAGAGCAAGAGACACAAAAAAATAAAAATAAAAAGCTAAGTAAGAAAAAAAGACAGAGAAGAAAAGCTGTTATAAACAAGTCATTAATCTAGGAGTGTCAAATCGGTCCACTGCGGTTATGCCCTTACATTGTATATATGATATAAGCTCCTACACGAGCAAATTTACTGATCGTGAATATAATATTCTTACATACTATGGTATTTATATGATGGAAGATGTTATGGATTTGTTTTTTGTTTTTCTTTGTTAAAATGATGGTAATGCTGATTATGATAATCATTAAAGATAAACTCGAGTTCTGGTAAAAATAAGAAAATTACTTCTCACTGAATCAAACGAAACTTAACACTGAATGTTCAAGATTACAAATAAATGACATGTGCCAAACTATTTTGGAAGAAAATGTATACTGGCTGAGTAATGAGCATAGAAAGACAAGGAAATCAAGGAAGTACTAGCCCCGACACCATGTGTGTTGTCCCATATATAGCTTTCTGTGTACAGTGCTTGTTACTTTACCAAGACTCAGTCAAATTTATTATGATTTTGATGACTCCAGAACCTTGCAGTGCACACCAATACTTACATGCTGCATGATCAACTGTTTCTGATCCTTTCCACACCTTTTCTTTCACAATGCAATCGCATTACCAGTACTAAAGTTTATCTTTAAGATTATGAAAAGACAGAAGATGATGATGTACACTTACCTGTTGCCCCAGGGTGGTTGCCTCAAGATTGGTCTGTAAGGTGCCCTTGTAATACTCGTCTGCTTCCCTCCTAGCCTCCATCAGCTCCAGCTCTAGCTGACTCATTCTCTGGGTATAGGATGCAGACTCAGCAGCATGGCGTCTGGCCTGGGTAGAGAGCTCATACCTTAGCTGATCCACTTCCGCCTGCTTCTCTCTCGGCTGTAAAAGAAAGGAGGAGAAGGAGAAGAAGATGAAAATGAGGAAATAGAAAAAGAAGGAGGAATAGAAGAAAGAGAAGAAGATAAAGGAGGAGGATAAAGAGGAGAAAAGGAGAAAAATAAAAGAATAAAAAGAGTCTTCAATATAATATAATAATATTCTGCTTTTTTTATAGCGCCCGATACATCGATACAACAATGTGCCTAAGTGCTTTACAGACATATTATTACCTCGGTCATCGGATTCAGGCTTACCCGCTCACAATGTATGCACATTTTTCCACTCCCTGGGGAGCATTCCAGCCAGTCGCCATTTTACAAGGGCACACTTGCTCATTCAACCACATGAACTTTCGCATACTACCGGGTACCCATTTAACACCTGGGTGGAGAGTAGCAAGTGCAGGTAAATATCTTGCCAAAGGATATTAGTGCCGTGTCGGGATTTGAACCCTTGAACTTCGCATCTCAAATCAAGCACCTTAAACCACTCAATACTACCACTATTTGAACCATATCTCTACTTATCTCCACTATCACTTTTTGTGAGCATACACAGCACAGGGGACTGCAGAAGAGAGATACCAAGGACACAATTGAATATTCATGTAAATTCAATACATCAATGAAAAATGTCAACCTGGCTCAGCAGTGCGGTCCTCCCAAACCACCCTCCCCCCACCCCCCCCCCAAAAAAAGGTGTACATATTAATTCAATAAATACTGAGCTTACCTGGTATTGTTTCTGGTTCATTTCAGTTTCTAAATGACTCAGTCTCGCCTGATACTTCCTCAACTCTGCTGAAGTTGTAACCTTATCTGCTCTAAGGGCTCCTACAAAGGAGATCACAAATAATGATAATTATTTTTTCTTCACCTTTTACTCTTTTGAGACGGCCATTCCTCATTTTGCAGTTTTGCTCAATAGTCATTTCTGCACCCAATGTGTCCATTTTGTTGTATGACTAGATTGCATTTGATGCCAGGAGTTTTTAACAAGGCAAATAAGCATTTAGAATCAAGGTTTAGAATCAAAGTTTTTGACAAACTGTATACTGGAGAAAATTAGCACTGAAGTGCAAAGAAAATGAATGACTTTTTGCCGATATCCAAACCTAAATATCCATGCTAAACATTTTGTATACACCATTTTTGTGCAATGAAAAGAAAAACTTTAAAATCATTAAAAACACAGCAACAACTTAACCCTTACTATTTCGAGCACTCTCTGACTGGGGGGGGGGGGGGGGGGGGGCCTGATCTCGGCCATCGAATGTCCGATGAACGTGAAAATTTGCAAGTTTGTAGATATTTACATAAGGAACAAGATGGTATAATTAGTTTTTTGCTAATATGCAAATTTTTGTCGTTATAGCCTAATTAATTATGCAAAATGCTAATTTTATGCATTTTACAGAAAACTCTAGATATTTGTCCGTAGACTTGTGAAGAATCTTGAAAATGTATTGAATAAATGTTTCCTTCATCTCAAATTCATGAGGTTTCATTATTTTTATGATATTTGAAAATGCATAGGCTAATTTGGATAAATTATGAATACGCATTCATGAATATCAAATCTGGAAATATATATATATATATATATGGAACTAGAATCCTTATAAAAATTGTCAGACTCCACTTTTTGAATGTTGTTACACATTATTCATATGAAACTTCTTTTTGAACACAAAAAAGTTATTTCAAGTAATTAATAATGATAATTTATGCAAATTCGATGCGAGTTTCGACTATTTATTTTTTTATGTATTTTATTGTTTTTTTTTATTTCTTATTATATCTATTGTTTTATTTCTAATGTATTCTTCTGTTCTGAAATACATCAAGTTACTTTGAGAAACATATAAAAGCAATTTGATATCAATTCATAGCTTCACATTTCTGCTTGTACATGAATATATGCAATTATAGCACGTTTTTGATGACATGCGCATACTAATTGTTATGTAACACCTTACAGGTATATCCAATTTCGACGAAAATGGTATCAAAATGTGCGTAAGACTTGAGGAGAAAAAGTCATGAAACGACAATTCAAAATTCCAAGTGGTTGCGGTGCAACCTCCGAAAATGTCGAGAGGGGGGGGGGGGCCTCCCAGGCCCCCCCCCCCAGTACAGTAAGGGTTAAACAAATAGGAGTCCCAAGAAGTAGACAAAATTTAAGTTATATCTCACCAATGGTGTCATTCAATGACTGGATATGACTTTTGATAGCATCAGTTTCTGCAAGATTAATTTGAATCCCTCCTTGATGACCAGACGGATATACCTCTCCACCTTGAATGGTTTGTGCCAGGGTGGATAGTCTTTCCTCCAGTCTCCTCTTCTCAACCTTGAGTTCCCTGCACTCTTTCTCTATGGACTTGACATATTCTATGGTAGAAATGCAGACAAATCATTCTCAACATCTTTATGATAGCTCTAAAATAAACTTTGATGAAGACAGTCCTGAATCAATACCTCTCTTTTTTACAAATATTTCAAGCATTGATTGATTGACTGATTGATTGATTTATTTCTGACATTTATACAGGGTAGCTCATTTTCACCACTAGTGGTGGTCTTCCATGAGGCCCTGCTTGGTAAGAACAATATGCCATAACAATCATGAATATAAAACACAGAAGAAAATAAGTAGATACAAGTATAACAATTCTTTGGTATAGTCGTAATACATGTCGACCTTTTCAACACAATACTTTAGCATATTTGTAATATCGTATTTGATGGATAGTTGGTAATCTTTTTTAAAATCAGGTGACAAATTATCATTACTTTTGAGACATGTTTACTTCTAAAATAGCATCATATAGTTTAAGAAGGTCATAAACAAAGTACAAGGATGCTCTTGGCTCAACATAGATCCACACTTGAGATACCAAAAGTCTTATATACATATTTACATAGCATATTACAATGGATTCCTAGTTAACTAATAAACGTTGATTGGAACTAATATAGCATTTGAATGTATTTTAAGGTAAATACTAATGAACCTATTAATCTTTAGTACTGATAACAAATGATGTAATTCATTCAATCTGGAAAGTTTCATGTCATGCTACATCATGAGAAATAAGAAGCAAAGTCCATCAATGGATGGACTTTGGATATTAATACTGCATGAACAGTTGCATTGTAAACAAAAATGTGTTAATGCATTGCATCAGGCAGAATAAGCTGTGGAGGCTCCATAAATGCACATTTTGTATTATGTTACAATCTCTTTCATTGAGAAAAAAACAGGTTAATCTTTTTTTAAGCCAGGCCAAATCCGTGCATATGATTCAATATCGCTATTCAAATATGCTATAAAAAAACAACATTTTAACAGGCACAACATTACCTGCTATGAAGAATAAAATTTAATGTTCTATCCAAACAATTCATTGGTAAATTGGAACATGGCAATCACAAGAGTCAAAATGAGAGAATGATCTACCTCCAGTAAAGGGGGCATGTTGCTCATCCTTTGTGCTTTCCCCTCTGGGTCCTCTGGGTATGATGGACCCATCTCCTCTCTCATAGGGGTTCAATCCATCTTTCTTCATTCTGTCCACATGGCTTTCCATCTCTTCCATCTCTCTCTTCATATCCCTGATGACTGCGATGAGAGATTCATTCTGGGCCTGAAGCTCCTCAGCCTGCCTGGACTCCAAGTGGGTGTCCTCCATGCCGGTATCTCGACTCTGATTCAGAAAACAAAAGACCAATGTAGAAATGTAATCAAATTGAATGTACAAATCTCTGTTAAGTGCCCCATTACAAATTATGGCATTCACCTGCTTTGAATAAGTGTAATGCAATAGTTAGAATGCAAATTGCATAAATTACGGGTTGTTAGGTAGGTCAAGCCATAATGTTTGTCCTACCTAGCAACAATTTACATGCAATTCACATTCTAACTATTGAAATACAATTATTTGTTAACCGGTGAATGCAATAATTTGTAACGAAGCACTTAACAAAGATTTGTTCATTAAGTTTGATTACATTGGGTAGTGGTCTTTTGCATGGCTATCAACTTCTTGAAAGAAGGGGGGGGGGGGGGAATGGAGCAGGAGTGGGAATGGGTGAATATATGGGGGGGGGGGGGTCCTCCCTTCTTCATACATATGCTCAATGTAACAGGTAATAATAAAAGGAGCTTTTTTTATTTGATTACCGGGGGTACACTAAAACTTGTACTATCGATGAGCAGAGAAGAAATACTGGTGTTTTGCCATGAATGCTCACTAAGTGCAATAAGATCTTCCTCTATTTGTAACTTACCTTTCTCACAGTGAAAGAGAGCCTGGCTAGTGGTGAATTCAACTCGAACATGTGCTTATAATTAAACACAGATAAGAGACACTGGTAAACGAATATCACTAGCGATATTATTTTCGAAGAGACACTGGTGTTTCATTAAGAAACTAAACTCACTGGAATCATATCTCTGTCAATCTTTAGCTTGTGTTTTCTCAGCGTGGCTACAGCTTGGTCCCTGTCTCTCGCTAAGACCCTGTTCAAATCATCTCTTTGCTGGAGCTCCCTCTCTAGTTCCCTAGTCAGTGCAACAGCCTGGAAACAACAAAATAGTACGATGTCACGAGGAGGACAAGTAGGATCAAAACAACAGATGCTTGGTCTTTAATGGACAGGCAACATTTTTTAACTTGGCATGCACTCAACTTGGCATACTTGAGGAATATCAAAATAAAAGATGTTCCCGTCTTAACCGTCTATACACACTACATTTTATGGTTTACACGTGACAGCTTTTATCATTAAAATGTGTATTGAGGGAACCTGAACTTTCAGATCATCTGACCACAGTGTGTGCGGGAAATCAATGAATCCAATGACCCGGGTAATAGTTTATCTGTAAAATGCTTAGAGACATTGTATTAAGCGCTATACAGTGCGAGTAAAAAAAAAGTTTACACCTTGAAAATTGCTAATTATTTAAAAAATCATCTATGAACAGTAAATGATTATACATCTTATGAAAGAGTGTTTTATCCCAAATCATTTGGTATCATTTTTGTGTGGTATGTGTTCATGCTTGAATGCACAGGAGGCATTGTTTAAGAGAGTGCAAAAATCGATTTGCGCCAAAGTTGCTTGTGTGATGTTTGAATAAAATAATTGGGATTTGGGTATTAATTCGGTCTTTGCAGATCCAAATAACATCCCTACCAAAATTAATCATGCCACACATATCAAACATCAAATATCAACGAACATTTGTGCACGTGTGTGTGACTTTGCTTCTGTAAAAAGCATATGCAATGCATTTCATTTAATACATTCAATTCATTCTCTCACTTCCGCTAATCCCAATATAATACATGCTGTAGGCATCACTTTGGCGCAAGTCGATTTTTGCACTCTCGCAAACAATGCCTCATGTTCATCCAAGCGTGAACACAAACCACACAAAAATGATACCAAATGATTTGGAATAAAACACTCTTTCATAAGATGTATAATAATTTACTGTTCATAGATGATTGTTAAAATAATTAGCAATTTTCTAGGTGTAAACTTATTTTTGACTCACACAGTATAAGCGGATTATTATTATTAATAGACAACTTTTCTGGTCTCATTTGAGAGTGGTTTTTATATACAGGTATCACTTCACTTTACAAACAATCAAAGTCACACATCATGTATGTCAAAACATGAAGAATTAAAGCATCAGTTGCTATCTGAAACTAAAAATATATATAGAGAGAGACTGGAGAAGCACATTACAATTTTTCTCTCTGATCTTTCACCATATTTCTCTTCATTGCTATGTGATATTTTGTGAAATGGTGTAAATTTGTTGGAATACATCCCTCCGGAAGACTTTGGAACAAAATGTGATACCATTTGGAGTGAAATCAGTGAGTTATATAAATATCAAAGATTCGATCTTCATATCATCCTAAACTGTACTGTACCATGTACTGATTTTGATGTGAGCCTGAGACTTCAATTTTATCTTGTCAGCAATTCGTGTAGTTCAGTTGGTGTAGTTCAGCGAACTCCAGTCTACAGATTTAGAGACAAAGTTCTTCATTCATCCTATTGTCCTGCTTCAATAGTAATAGTAAGACTTTCTAATCTACCTTAGATATACTCCCATTGTCCAGCATGATGGGCGAACCTCCTACTACAACAAGAGCCCGATCTACTTCGATGAAGGAGAACACTGTTCTCATAGAAGAGGTCATCAAAGACATAATGCACAACAAAAACTTTTTGTCACTTGTACAAGATTCCATTGACAAGAAGATCAGCCGCTTGCAGGAAACAATTGAAATACAAGAAGCTGATATAATGGATCTGCAGACCAGAAATACCGCCAAGGATAAGGAAATAGATGACCTGAAAAAGAAGGTTAACGAGCATACTGATCGTCTAAAAGCAGTCAGTGTGAACATCAATGCACAGGAACAATATTCCCGCCGTAATTGCTTACGATTTTTTGGCTGCCCAGAGAGAAAGGGTGAAAGCACAGACAGCATTGTTATGAAAATGGTCAATGACATCCTCAAAGTCAACTTAACAGTCGATGACATCGAAAGAAGCCACAGAGTTGGTATGCCAGGTGAACCCCTTCCAGAGCCTGCTCCCGGCGCCATCGAAGACCCAACAGCACCTACCAAAACCTACCGCGGTATCATCGTGAAATTCAAGTCATACAGGAAGCGCCAGGAGATTATACTCAACCGACGAAAACTGAAAGGTCGCAAGCGAGCAATAGTAGAAGACTTGACTGCCAAAAATCAAAAGCTCCTAGCGATGGCAAAAGGACATCCCCATGTTGAAGCTGCTTGGAGCAATGACGGGAGAATAATTGCTCTACTGAGTGGTAAGGACCATAAGAAAAAACTCATCAGAAACGAGGATGACCTGAAATCTCTGCCAAATGAATAGTGAAATGTTAAATCTGAACTAAACAATCTTCTGGAGGGAAAAACTTCCCTTTTTATCGTTCGATAACAAACTTTGACAAAGTGAACGCTTATTTTTATTTGTACTATTTGTATATAATTGTGTTTTACATAAATTTATATATATATATTCATTGCTTGGAATTTTCAATCAATGTAGTATTTGTTTATGCTTAACTGTTTTGTTAAGTTGTTTTTGTATTTCCGTATAATAAATTTGACTTTTATGACTATAATGAAAGAATATAAATATATCAATTCTTCCCACATTCGTTCTTTTGCATGTTGCATGTATTTTTACATGTATTTCCATCTATGCTTCAGGTGCGGAATAGTTTGTAATACTTATTTTTGTAGAGTTGCGCTCTCTTCTTCTTTCTTTATTGCTACGATCAAAATGTGTAATCTTATAAGTAAGAATGAACTTTCGTATGAACAACCCACTTAACGATCTTGATCCTGATCTGCATGTCAATAACCCAGATTTTGCTTGTAACAGCTACACCCCTTTTGAATTTAATGAACATTTCCAGTCTTGTGCCGAATTCAGCATGATTCACTTAAATGCCAGAAGCCTTCATACAAATTTTGAGAACATTTCTAATTTTCTATCTATCATAAAGAACAGTTTTTCAGTTATAGCTATATCAGAAACATGGATATGTGGTTTACCAGTAATTCCATTTCATTTAGATGGATACAAGTTTGTCAACGTTGATAGAAAATCTGGTAGAGGCGGAGGTGTTGGTATTTTCATTAAAAATGACATTAATTTTCAAAGAAGAGAATCAATTACACACTCCGTAGAAAGTGATTCCACTTGTGAATATTTATGTGTAGATTTGTTTAGACAAGATAGAGATAGGCTGACGGTTGGTGTTTTTTATCGAAAGCCTAGCACAGATATTAAATCATTCATACATTTTTATTCTGAAACGCTTGAAAAACTTAGCACTGAAAAAAGAGAAATTATTATGACAGGTGATTTTAATATAGACTTACTGAAATCAACTGATGAAAATACAAACGATTTCCTAAACATTAATTTTTCATTTGGTCTTACTCCTGTCATCAAATATCCAACTCGTATTACTATGAATACTGCATCTCTCATTGATAACATTTTTATTAATACATTCGAAAGAAATCTGGAAAGTGGCAGTTTTTCTGTTGAGTTAACAGACCATTTACCTATTTTTCTTGTGTTGGATAAAACTAATTTGCTGACAAAGAGTCAGCATACTACAATTAATTTCAGACGTGCAGTAACAGATGATGGTGTAAAGAAATTACAAAGAGAACTGTACGAAGTGGATTGGTCTTCATTGTATTCGTGCAATAATGTTAATACTGCTTATGACTTGTTTTTAAGTAAGCTTTTAGTTTTATATGACAGAAATCTACCTCTATGTACTAGTAACAATAAGAAATCATGTATACGTAAACCTTGGATAACACCAGGACTTTTACGATATATCAAGAAAAAAAATAAGTTGTATAAGAAATTTCTTAATGATCGCTCACCCTCAAATCAAGCAAAGTATAAAACATATAGGAATAAAGTTAATAATATATTACATAAAGTGAAAAGGAAATATTTTTGTGATAAATTGAATCGAACCAAGCATGATATCAAGGGTACTTGGTCCGTCATAAACAAACTACTTTGTAAATCCAAACGTAATCCACCTCAGTATATTTTATGCAACGACAAAAGAATAGATGACTCACAATGTATAGCTAATGAATTCAATTCATATTTTATTAATTGCTGCACAAATATTTTAACTTCTTCTCAGGTTGTTGCACGAAATGATACATTTGAAGGATATTTAAATGATCCACTTTCGAAATCGTTATTTTTAAAGCCTATTACTGAATCTGAAATTCTTGAAATTACTAAATCGCTGAAGAAAAGTAACTCCTGTGGTTTTGACGGCATCAACAGTAATATTGTAAAAAAGATTATATACTCGATTGTAAAGCCTTTATGTTATATATTCAATTTATCTATAAGTACAGGTAATGTACCAGACAAACTTAAAATTGCTAAAATTGTACCAGTTTATAAGAAAAATGACTCTCATCTCTGCAAAAACTATAGACCTATTTCAATATTGCCATGCTTCTCAAAGATACTGGAAAAATGTATGTATAAACGTTTGTATTCATTCTTAATAGCTAACAGCATCTTAACAGACAGTCAATATGGATTTAGAAGTAACCACTCGACTTGTCATGCTCTTATAGATTTACAGGATAAAATTGTATCTTCAGTAAAAAATAACGATTTTGGAATAGGAGTATTTATAGATCTCTCAAAGGCGTTTGATATAGTTAATCACGATATTCTATTATGTAAACTACAGCATTATGGTGTACATGGCCTCCCACTCATATGGTTTAAAAACTATCTATGTAGTCGTTATCAATTTACCATATTCAATGATGCTTCTTCCACTCATAGTTTAATTAAACACGGGGTTCCACAAGGTTCTATATTAGGTCCCCTATTATTTCTCATATACGTTAACGATATTGAAAAATCATCTACCAAATTTGACTTTATTATGTATGCAGACGATACCACTTTGTTCTTTACTCAGCCGGATTTAAAAGATATGCAAGAGAATATTAATGTTGAACTACATAACATATCTAAATGGTTTAAGGCCAATAAATTAATACTTAATCTGACTAAAACTTGTTTTATATCTTTCCATAATAAGCTGTCCAATGCGACTAAAACCTGCAATGATCTTACATTAAGTATCGATTCTACACCAATAACTAAATCTAAATCTATTTGTTTTCTTGGAGTCAATATAGATGAAAATTTGAAGTGGGATTCACATATTAACTATTTAAGTACCAAAATATCTAAATGCATTGGTATTATGTATAAATTAAGAAGCTGTCTTCCTGGTTCAGCCTTATTCTCACTGTATAACGCCTTAATATTATCACATATCTTATATTGTATAACTGTCTGGGGAAATTGTAGTAAAACCAAATTAGATGTCATTTTCAAATTACAAAAGAGGGCAATACGAATATGTACTGGTAGTCATTATCTTACTCATTCGGCTCCCCTTTTCCATAAATTGAATACTTTGAACATTTTCCATTTATACCAATATCATACTATCCTACTTGGATATTTTTACTTCAAGAGTATCCTCCCCAAAAATATTGTTAAAATGTTCACTATAAATAAAGAAATTCATTCCCATGGCACACGAAACAGCAGCTTATTTCATTTATGGAAAGTCGGGAAAACCTTTGTACAACGGTCAGTTCGATATAGTTTCCCAACAATCTGGAACTCACTTCCCAATTATATTTGTTCATGCATCTCTCTCTCTCTTTCTTTCTTTAAAAGAAAATTGAAACAATATTTTATTTCAAAATATGCTTAGTTTGCAACTCTTTGATATTTGAAAACATCCACTTGAAAAAGGAAGTAATTTAGGTTTTTAGGTTGTTGTTGTTGTTTTTGTTTTTTTTTTTGGGGGGGGGGGATCGGGTAATTACTTGGATGCACTTTATATCTGTTGGCATCTACATGTAGGTATTTTGTATTTCATATTCTATGCATGTATATATTCATATCCATTGCTTGTTTCTTTTCCCTTTGTTGTACAAATTTGAAACTATTATTATGAAGCCTCCAAATCACTCTCTAGCAAATGGGGACTTTTTTTTCACAAGGCCAATCTGGCTTTATTTTAAAGTTCTCATAATTCATTTTCTTACAATGTAATAGGCCTACTTATAATATTTATTGCTTTTTATTTCATGACTTGTAAATATGTATGTTTTTTGTCACGTACAACTGTCTGTACATTTTAGAAATGAATTGAATAAATGAACTGAACTGAACAGACTCACTTCATCTCTTGACTTGGTGAGCCTAGCGATGAGATCCTCCGACTTGGCATACTGGTTCCTCTCTGCATCTTCGTATCTCCTCTGCCAGTCCAGCTCCAGCTGGGCCTTGGTGCGCTCCATGTTCTGCTCCTTCTCTGCTGCCACAACTAGCTCCTTCTGGTATCTAAAGTTTTTCCAAAAGAAAATATATTATTTAAGAGTGGTTATAACTGGAGTAAGGGCGTTTATAATAGGTGATGTGACAAATTTTACAAAATAATTCATGTAGTATGAATGTTTATCTATGACAATGGAGGATGGCATTATTTTCTCCCTGCTTATAAAACAAGAAAATCTTGGTGAAAAAAAATCCATCAATATAAGTTTTGACAAAATTACACCTTTCTGCTTACCGGTATGTACACACCTTAATCCAAGAAAGCAAAATGACAAGAATAATAACTCAAACCATGGAATCTATTAAGTTATCATGCTCATGATGCTGCAGATTTACAAATGACTGTATTAATACTGTAGAAGTGAATTCTTGTTAAAAAAAAGAGGAGTTTCCTATTGAGATCCTCAAATGAATTAAAGATCCATTCTCACTTCAATTAGTAAAGAAGCAAAGACACACATTCAGGTTAGTACACTACATGGTGAATTGCCATTTGGTCTACAACCAGTTTGTCAACTACCCAATTGGTCTATTCACATAGGGTCTACACCCAGCCTGTCTAATAAGGTCTTATAATCATTTAATGATGATTATTATATCATATGGATAGAAGACAAACTGGAAATTAGACCAACTGAAAATTAAACTAAATGAGCAATAGACCAAATAGGTTGTAGACTAATTGGAGATTAGACCAAATGACTAATAGCCTGAATGGTCATTAGACCAAATGATAAGTACACAAAATGATTATTAGACCGTGTGGATAGTAGAGGGCTGGGTGTAGACCATATGGGAACAGACCAATTGGGTAGTGGATGAAATGGTTGTAGACCAAATGGCAATAAACCCATTACATTACCTCTCTATGTCATCTTTGCGGCATTCTAGTTCTGCCCTCAGTTTGCCATCTCTGTCTCGCAGTGACTCAATCACCAGGTCTTTTGACACCAAGTCTTTGGATACTTTGGACACTTGACCATCAAGTTGGTTCCTTAGTTCTCTCGACTCTTGCTGATGTCTGTTTAAATACCAATTAGTTCAAACTATCAGTTAACAGCTATATTCTTGCACAAAGAGAAGAATGTAAAGCAAGCAGACAATTGAACTGGTGAATTAAACTTCTGTCTAACGAGTCGGGGCAAAGCTATGAAACCCCACATTCAATATGGTTGCCTGTGGAGGATGTAATCACGATAATATTTTGAGAGCTAAGGCTAACTAAACAAAGTCTCCAATGGAGTCTATCTTTGCACTACATTAATCTAGTACCATAATCATAATTAAAATTTAACCATTACTTCAAACAAACACAATTTTATAATAAAATTAATACTGTCCTGATATATTAACACATAAATGCACGTACAGTTTAATGCATATATATATATATACAAAAAAGGGGGATATATTAATTACTCCATAACTTAATCATTATTAAACAACCCTGAGTGAATAAGCTCCTTAACAAACTATGTGAGGCAGGAAGTTTCGCAATGAGGTTTTGAATATAAAATAGTAATTAAAATATGAAAGTGCAAAGGGTTAGCCTATCTTCTTGAGTCCTTTATTGTAGGTAGGCAAGGTATTCAACCAAATGTTACAACTCCCTGAGATTTTAACTCACCTTTCAACGAGCATTCCTTTATCCTTTAATGCATCCTGGTGCTCCCATGCCTCCCTCCTGCTCTCCACCTCCCTGGCCTCCAGGGCTCCTTCTAGTCTCCTAATCTCCTCATGGAGCTTCCTCTCTGCCTCCACCTGGGACTCCTTCAAGCCCACCACAGCAGTCTCCTTCTCCCTGGCATAGCGGTCCAGCTCCTTGTGTCTGACATGGAGAATCACAATAATAATGATAATAAAACAGTGACAATAGACCAGCTCATGGTTAGCACATGTCCCAAATGACCCCGAATATCCACAAATCTTCAAAACATGAAGACGTCCCACTTTGTACATTTTGAAATAATCACTCATACAGCGATGGAGGTGCTACATAAATAGCTTTTGTTTCCTCTTTCCTAAAGAATACTTCCACCTGTGTATCATGGAGTGCACTGCTTGTGCATAAATGAATAAAGACAACATGACTTTCATGAGCACATATCCAGTATTTTGTCTAAGTGTATTTCACAATTTGGTCTGCAATGACCTTTATCTGCTCAAGCTCAGACTGCAACTATGAACTGGTGTATAATAACAACAATGAGTGTGGTGATGATGATGATGATGATGTTTACAACAATAAATGTTACTCTGTTTGAATAGTACTTTCATAATTTCATACAGACAGTAGCACTTTTTAAATGCATTCTTAATTACCAAGATCATTGCAATTGATCACAATTACAAACTACACTCTCCTCACTCCACAATATTCCCCTTGCCCTAAAAATGTTAATGCAATATTCAACAATGATGATAAATTTTATTTCCATTTTTGAAGAAATAAATGCCACCATGCAAGAGTTGAAATGTCAGTTATGAAAAAACAACAACAACAACAACAACAACAACAACATACAAACACATAGTACACTTTGAATAAATGAGGCAATGATTAAATAATTAACGATTAAATAATTCATAGCCTTGCCAAGTTTTGTAACTGTTTTAAGTCTGTGAAAAAGTGATTTACAGGTATCCCTATTTATGTTTCTTGAGAATGTGAGGTATGAAAGCTTACATCTAAAAACTATTCAACAAAGACTCTAATTCTACCAGTCAACCTTTCATTCTTGAGATGTGAAAAACACACAAGTTGTTAACTGTACATATCTCTTTTCATAAAATGATCAAGATTGACTCACTTTCTGTTGAATTCCTCCTCAGATCTCTCTACTGCTTGCTGTGCATGTAGCAACTGAGACTCAAGCTCTGCAATTCTGAGGTCACATACATCATTAAATAGAGAATAGGATATAACAAGAATACTTTTATAAATATTTAATCAATACTCTTTAACAAGATCTTACTCCTATCTACCAATAATTTCATGAACATGTGTAATTTAGTATTGCCAGTAATTTAGTATTGCCAGTTCTAGGGCGTTGGTGAAGACTACAGTGTTAGAATCTCATATAGTATTGATGTGTGACTTGACACCAACTCCAAACCATCCAATATTTGTCCACACTGGGCCCCATCTTATAAAGAGTTGCAATTGATCTGAATCAATCGCAAGTCTTCTAATTAATCTCAAGCTTGCAGTCCCCTTTCTCTTACCTACATAGTTGTGATTGACATCAATTGCAAATTGCAATTAATTTCAACTCTTTATAAGACAGGGCCCAGGTTAACAAAATTTTATTTGGTCTGTTGTCAGTCTTGTTGGTGTGACTGGGATACTAGGTCTGTTCAGTTAGTGAACTTTAGTAGAAAGTGTGCTCATGGTATTTTAACAAAACAGCAAATTACCTGGGCCCCGTTTAACAAAACTTGTCATCAGCGACAAATGACGTTTCTGTTATAAGCTAGTATAATCATTGTTTCTGATTGGTTATCAGCAGATTTGTCACTGACTTTTGTCATTTGTCATTGAAAAAAGGCTTTTTGAAACGGGTCCCAGGTGTAAAGATTCTCTGAAGATACATTTTCATTTTTGGTGTGTATCTTGAGACGGCAGTCATTTCACTAAAATACTGAAGAAAAAATAGAGATAAGAACTGCAGCTACAGCAGCAGCCAGCATATAGGGATACTTTTGCTGGCTCATGCCAGGCTGTTGGACATAGTTGCTGAACAAGCTGAAATGTACAGCATAGCTCCAGAAATTTGGAGACTCTAAATACAAGCTGAAGAAGGCACCTAACTTTTACTATACTCCCTCCACATGCCCATATCAGGTCAATTTTGTACCGACATGTCAACAGAGAAAATCAATGGCATGAACCTAGTCTACCTATTTTTACAGAATTCAAGTTTGTTTACCTTGCATCTTTCATGCCTCGGAGGTCACTCAGCTCCCATTCTGTCTGTTTGAGTTTCTTTTTGAGGCCGTCCATCTTGGTGTCACTGGTCTTGAGCTCTGTAGAGGTCTGTTGACTGGCCCCTCTCACCAGGTCCAACTCCCTGCTCAATAGCTTGGCCTATATTCAATATTAGATCACAGACAAAGCATTGCATCGTTAACAAGAAAGAAAAAACTTAGTAGTTTGCTTTTGCTAAAGACATAGAAATTTAATTTAAAAAATTTCTATGAAACTGGTTTATGATGGTACAATTTTACCTAGTTTGTACTCTATGGCCTGAATTCACAAAGGAGGTTTGTCGACTTTTTGTCGGTTTTCGTACGTCATACGACGCGTTTTTACGCGTTTTTTACAAACCTGGTTCGTAAAAACGCGTTGAAACACGAAAACCAAGGTTTGTCGACAAACCTCCTTTGTGAATTCGGGCCAATGAATATGAAAGAAGGATATATTAAACAAGTTTGGTGCTAAAGAATCTAAAGATGTTATTCCACATTTCAAACTGGCATAGAATACCTTTGGATCATAACTTTATCCTAGCAAAAAAGTTTGTGATGAAAGGACATTGTTTAAATATAAAGATAAACAGCAAAAACATAAACATTTAATGGAAATATTGTTTAATATATATTTGTGACACTCATGTGCAAAGTAGGAGGCATAGTAAGGATTAGGCAGGTGGTCTAAATTCAGCCAAAATGGTGTTTACTACTCATCTCATATGTACTTTACCTTCATTTCATGTGCGAGCACCGTTGAGCTGAGCTCATCAATCTTGGTCCTATACTCCTTCTCTCTCCTCCTGGAAGCATCGTCAAACCCAGCCGACATCTCCCTGCGCTGAATCTCAAGGTCCTCCTCAACCTCACCGATCCTCCGCTTCATGTCACGCCTCAGTGCCTCCAACTCATCTCGCTCTGTCTGCAGCTCAACATCCTTAGAACTGAGCATGGATAATGTTATAATACTATTTCATTGAATGCAGTTAGAAATTTAAAGGTGGTGTGGTAGAGTTTCAGCAGAGCACTGTTTGTTGTTGTTTTTCTTTCAAGAATTGCTCAATCTGAAAATTTAGATCTCTATTTATCAATGATTAATTGATTTAAAAATAGAAATTGGGGCTATGGAAGCTACATGTGTGGAGCACTGATACACTATTCAATCATACTACAGGATAAAGTAAAGACATTAGATATTGCAAGGAAAGTACTTTCAAAGAAGGCACATTAAGGTCTAAAGTTTATGTTCAAACATTGGCTTCAATATTAATTGTTAACATACTGTATCTCTTACAAAACTGAAATAATACATCTTTTAAAGCCCCACTGCACTACTTACTACTTGCACTCTCTATATAGCAAACAATGCCTAATCGGTGCCTGTTGGTCCCCCATGATCCTCTTTTTCTTATGTTAATTGAGAGCTGAGTTGATGAGAAAGGCACCTGTCAGTGGTCTAATCCTTCCTAGCCAAACTAGTACAGACAGGCTTTAATACCAGTTATTGAAGATTTTACCAAACTGTCTTTAGGAGAGAAACAATTTTGAAATCTTGTTTAAAAAAACTCTTTAGGTTGCTTTAGTTTTAGAGTGATCAGTCCACTTCATTGAGAATGAGATACTAACATCTTGTATTGCTCCACCTCAGCCTGTTTCTCCCTGACCCTCTGTTGATAGTGCCTCTGGAGATCCTCCATAGACCTTTCATCCTGAGCCCTTCTAATCTTCAGCTCATCGATCTGAATCTTGAGCTGGCTCACTCCTGCCTCTCTGGACTGCAATCTGGCTCTTAGTTGCTCCTGCGTCACCTCAAGCCTTCAAAATAATGATATCAGACAATTAAAAGTAACGCAACAAAAGTGACAATCCGTCTGTCCAAGACCATTTGTGACAAGTTTGTTAACTCAAGTATTCTTAGTGCCAAAGTTCTTAACTTCTGAAGCTATAGGAAGGGCTGCTGAATCAATGTCCACACAAATATAAGTCAGACCTTCCACAAATTCAATAAGTATTTACAAGAGGTAAATATCAAAATAGTCTTTTGTCACTGATCTCCAATTTAAAGAGAAAAAGGAAATCAAGCTACATGTATGTACACGTACTGTGTGTACCATATTTACCCACTACAAAAGCTATGGTTAACATACCGGACTGAAACTGGGTAAGTTTCAAGAGAGATGCATTTATCCATCTATTTTAAGTTAGGGCATTTGCTTCACAGCACTGTTATCGCTGCTTCTGAAATAAAATTCTAAAAAAGCATTCTCAGTTCTAGAATTTAATACAGGAAGCACATTGTACATTTGTTACTGTGTTTTACCATAGTCCATACATAATTACCGATCTAATTCCTGATCCCTCTCTGCAAGAAGCTTCAGATTGAATTTAAAATCTTCTTTGAGTGTCTGAAACTTCTCCTGCTGCTCCTTCAAGATCTTGTCTTTCTCCTGGATCCGATCCTCCAGACTTTGGGCATGCATTGCCTGTAGGAGGCGCCATTCCTGCTCCTTCTCTGCTGCCAGGCGTGCAAAGGAGGCATCCTCAAGATTGGTCACATTATCTACACGTTCCTGTGCCATGGGTGGTAATCTTTACTGGAGTTCAGTCATATTGTCGAACCTGTACATGAAAGAGAAGCACTAATGCACTTTGAAATTGAAATTCTTGCAGCCGTATTTTAAATTGTTACTGCGCATGAAGGATGATGATGTCCTCAATTGACGGTAACAGTTTAAAATATGGCTGCAAGAATTTCAAAACAGAGTGCAACACTCACCAACTAAATGCTGAAAAAAGACATCTAAATGCATTAGCCTAGCCCTTGGCCTAATCTAAAAAAATTGAAGTATAAATGCATCGGATATGAATCCGCTAAAATTACATTTTAGTCCAAAGTTTGGTGGCACTTTTGGTGTTACGTGACTACCACCAACTTCTGACACGAGGAGACCCTATTTTGTGGCTGGCTTCTGTCTCTAAAGAGAGGAGTCAACCACAAAGAACTTTGCACATTGAGTTTACATGCTCCCATTGGCCGATCCCCTCTAGTGGCTTCAAATTTAAGTGAGAGAGGGCCTATTTAACTTAAGCGCAACTTACTGTAAGTTTAATGGCAATGTCAACTAATATTACGTACCGTACCTTACATATGACGAAAAATGAGAATTGTTTGGACTTTAAAAAAACGTTACGTAAGACTGAAACTTAAAGTGAAATACTGAAACTTTTAAGGATGCTGAAAAATCGTAAAAAATAGAGGGTTTGACTGAAATATCATAATTTTGATATCGGATCAAACAGAAAATTGCAAGCTTTCTCCTCGCACCAATATCTTATACCATTAAGTGAATGGAAGCCATAATTGTCGGCACAAATTTAGTAAAATGAAGCTGCGATTCGCCGAGATCGGATGAATGTTTTTCGCATGCGCTAAATTTAAGCTAAAGTTCTTCTACATGCCCCGGCCCTGGCACCGTTGTGCGAGCCGTACGGCCCTACGGCGCGGGTTACCGTCTATGTATGAGCAGGATGAGGAATAATGTTGACAAATGTCAGTTTTAAACTTTTATTAAAGGTTCAAGGTTCAAGGTTCAAGGTTCATTTTATTTCTTTCTTTCACAACATTTTTACATATAATAATAGAACAAAAAACAGCATAAGAAAAAAACAATTTAAGTGCAATTTTAAGTTGATATATAATCCAAATGAAAGAAAGTGGAGACCTTAGAAAAGCTGGGCTTGTAAGAGCAAGGTCCTCATATAAAATAATCCATCAATGTTTCACTTTTAAAAATGTTTCAAAGTTATCAAAACTACACATGATTAAATATGGGGGAAATATTTACAAAAGGGATAGCTTGAAATTTGAAAAGGAGAGGATGAAAATATATACAAAGGAATCGAGAGGAAAAAAGCAAACTGGAACGGAACGCGGAAAGACCAACAAAACAGAGAAAAACAGAGAAAGAAGAAAGTTATATGTATATAGGGGAAAATAGTATTTGGTGTAAAGAAAAAGAAAAATAGAAGAGAGAAGAGGGAGAGAGATAATGTGAAATGCTGACATTTATATTGAATAATCAAACATAACAAAAACAAAAAGATAATGCACGTTATCAATAACAATTGATAAATTATTACCTAATATCATTTCTGGTGATATAATTTCTACGTTAATTGTCGACATAGTTAGTCAATAAATGTAATTTCAATTTGCGTTTAAAAACAAAGACACTGACAGATCTAGTTACATTGATAGGAAGTGAGTTCCAAAATTTGGGACCAATACAAGCCAGCGTCTTCAGAGCAAAAGCAGTTCTTACACATGGAATATGAAGTGCAGTTGCCTGCCTTGTATTATAGCTATGAATTTGATTGTTCTTTCGAAATATTTGTACTAACGCATTTGGGAGAGTACCATTTTCATAATTGCGCCTAACTGTATAAAGTAAATGTCTTCAACCTTCAAAAGCTTACTGTAGAACAAAACATTAGTATGAGCACGATAGCTCGCATTAAAAACAACTCTAACCACCCTAAAAATGACCCATACCCAGATACCAGACGGTTATTTCTATCTAATGCTAGCTAGCTGCCAATGCGCATTAGCATTGACTCTATGCTTTGCTTCAGTGGCTAGCTGCTAGCTGCTGCGCGCTGCGGCAATCACCTTGCCTTGCCAGCCAAGCCCAGCTAGCTAGCCAAGCCATGGGACTCGCCCCCCGGCCCAGCCGGGGGGCGGAGTTGACAACAACACTCAACACAGACAACAGCACTCACACGAGCAGGAACCGTCTCTGTACCCTCATTTAAACATACACTTTCGGTAAATGGCATAATAAATCAACATAAAAAGTGCAAAGATAAGGTTTTAGGCCTAGTTATTCGTTTAATCAGTTGAACATTGAATATCAAACTCACTCTTCGACTTCGCCGAATCGAATTAACCGCTACACACGATTGAAGTTAGTAGAATGAAAGGCAATTTTTAAATGGTATGGTAGCTGTAACTGCTCCTTATTTAAATTGGGACCAATGATTATTACGATTATTTTCTTTCTTTTCTGAGAGATCAGTGGTTCGGATCACTGATAAAAAAAATTAATTGTGATTTTAGAGTATATGAGACCTTTGATTAAAAAAAAAAAAAAAAGAGTGAAAAAAACACACCAACAATCAAGCAGTATTCATTTTTGTCCACTAGCTGTAATTCCCTTCTGATTTTAGTGAGATTTTCTGTATTTTTTACCGTTTTACCAAGTCCTCCTAGATCTATCTCTCTTTTTTGTTTTAATTCCTCTTATTGCACTTTTAAGTGCTCAAAGGGGTATATGGTCGGCAAATATCTGCTGCCCTTTCTTTTTCATTCTCTGACACACACTCTCTCTCTCTACTTGGTCCATGATCAATCTATGATTAAATGCTTATACAGTTTGACCATTATCATATTCTCCGCACTTATAATTCTTCCGTTTTTCCATCTACACCCCCTCCCCTTTCCACCTTTTGTCAGGTTCTCATTTCGTATCTGTTTTTATTATCATTTGACCATCTTTCCCACTCTCTCTCTCTTTCCTCTTTCCTCTTTGTCAATCAGGCATCCTCTCTCTTCGTCCCCTCACTCATTTTTTTTTTAAATCGAGCCCCAAACCCTCATCCCAGAAATAAGATAACTCATTTTAAACAAGAAAGAAATATATTTCACAATTTTGTGTGTGGAATAATAACAAATTTGTATTTTTTATTGAGAATCAAACAAGAACACATGATTTTCTATACATTTCTTAGTACTGTTTTATTAGAAACATTTCTCTTCAGATGTAACATTTCAAATTTGAGGCACTTGCTGCAACACTGGGTGAAAAAGCAGATTAACTATCTCTCTTGAACACAGAAAACTTTACTTCATTAATTTGCAGCTTGACTAATTACATTGTCATACACTGTGACAGGATGAGATAGATCTATATCAAATTTAAGGTTTGGGCAATAATATGGTTTTAAAAAATAATGCAATGGAAAGAAGAAAAACTTTCAAATAGCCTTTAGTTTAAGTGAACTCTAAAATAAGAATTATTGTGCAGATATATAGGTAGTTTAAAAAGAAAATCAAATAAATTTTCCTCTCTACAAATTCTTCATTAGCTTTAAATGCAATCATGAGGATTCATTGTCTTTGAATTACACACTGAAAAAAAAAATCCTAGACATTTCAAAGTTAGCAAATATTTCAAGTATCGGTAGCGGCCCTTTCTTCCTAGCCATTACAATTATCACCTACACTATACATGCAAGGCTTTAAAGAGGATAGGGGATGCACACTGCACAGGCCTCCAAAATATTTCAGAACAAATTCTTTTAGGGGAAAAAGCAAAGAAAATCAGCAAATCTTTTAAAAATATTGCTATAACTAATAACTGCTCTATTTTTTTTGGGTATTTATTCATTCGTACTTGCATCCGGAAAGTGAATACTGATAATGATAAGTTCTCAAAAAGCTATTTTCCAAACAGCTAAATATACAAAACATCTGTCTCTTGAACCAATACTTTATTAACGTCTAATTTACAGACGCATATACAATGTCATTTATCATTTGGAATGATATAACGTTTATTCAACATCTAGTAGGACTCCCATCAAGAATGATTCTACTCATAATACTTGATGGTTAAAGCACCATAAAAGTCATTAGTCTTTTCTCTCATGAGGTAGAAGTTTTAGGTTAACCAAATATTAAATGGACTGCCCATATTTAAGAATACTAATAATTCCAACCTCCTCTTCCCCCAAAATGTCAAAATCTTCATTCAAGGTGTCACAGTCAAGTGGTCACTTAAATGACTTGACTGGGAATGAAAAGGTTGTGGGTTTGTACCCTGGCATGGCACTTATGTCCTTAAGCAAGGCATTTTATCTACATTGGTCCTCTCCACCAAGGTGTTAATTGGGTACTGGGTAGGATGTGAACATTATTGTGGTCAATTTAGCATGTATACGCCCATAAAAAGATGACTAGATGGAATGTTCCCCAGGGAGTGGAGTATGTGCACTATGATGTGCAGTAACTGAATCTAGTTAGTCAGTTAATGGTTAAGTGCTATATAAGAAACCGGTATTATTATTATATCGTTATCATTATTAATATGTCCTATGGCACATCACAATGTACAAATTGGCACAACATTGATCTACAAATGTCACTCTTAACCCAGGTGAAGCAAATGAGTAATTGGGAAAAATTCCTTGAATGACTGAGCACGTTATCATGGAAGCCCTGCTAAAGCCATAGTGACAATAGTATTCAGCACTTTGTCTCCTGTGGAAAAGGTGCCTTATGATTCTAACTATTGTCATTATACTTATTGTAATTATTACCATACAATAACAAGAGATGAATTTTATTACAATCTCTGAATGTGCAATAATTGCAGGGAAGGCATCGATAGATTGACATGCACTACATAGCAGCATCGTCATAATCATGATTATCAAGTGGGATATTGTAACACTGCCATAGAAGAAAAAAAGTGATAATAACACACATTCCTTCACTTCTTTTTAGGGGTTTCCCCTTCCCCATCTCCAGTGCTCTTCCTCTTTTTAGATGGTCCAGTCTTGCTCGCTAGTAGAGATGGATCCAGCTTACAGGCCATGTAGTGGGTCCATAGGGCCAGTTCCACTTTATGCGGGGTCCACTCTCCTGAGGGATCTAGACAGGAAGATATAAAACTTGGCATCAATAACGAGTTACAAGCTACTGTTATAAGCTACTGAAATCATGGCATGTGATTGGCTGAGAGTAAATTTGTCATAGAAATTTAGCATTTGTTATAGATAAAATGTTTTATGAAACGGGCCCCTGGACAGTAAGAATTTTTTTTTTTTGAATACATGGATGTTTGAGGATTGCTTTATCTGACTGCTAAGAAAGCATGCTTGTAAGTAAGCAACCAGGGGACTGACAGCTTTAAGTCCTATCAGAGGGAATTGGTAATGAGGATTAAAGCCTAACCAAAGGGCACAAGCGCATCAACTTGGTTTTGAACTTGGACCTCCCGGTTACAAGACCACTGCTCTACCACTAAGCTATCGCGCCTCCTCATTGTTGAAACTGAATACTTGGCTGGGGATCAAACCAACTGTACATTTAAATGACTCTGAAAAGGTTCAAGGCTTTAGATTCATTTAGATATATAGTCTGATGAGATTCATGATGATATTGTCTGTTGCACGCCAGAAGGATGTTTGTTAACTCAGATGCGTGTAATTAGAATTATGCCCTTTCGGCTCTAAAGAAACAATTGTATTTAATGCAAAGAATTTAGCAAGATTTACTCGCCTTTTTATGTTGAAGTTTTATAAAAAAAACAGAGAAAGAAAATAGTTCAAGCATTTCAAGAAGTACAATTAGAGCTGAACCTACACATACTTGTAGCGGTAGGATAGTGAAACAGCATACTTTGTTTACTATTTAGCTTGTAAATAGACTGCATTATACTTATATATCTATTATTGTCACTATCTACATTGTATATGTCTATATACTTTGTGTTTACTAGTTGGTTCATTGTTCATGTTTGTACTTTCATTCACTATATACCTATTATCGTTTGTATGATTGTATTGTATTGTATGATTGTTTGTATGATAATGACACTTTGTGTCATTATCTATGTATAATGTATGAGAATTGTATTCATAAGTCATGCCTTGCTATTTATACTTTTATGTTTGTTTGTACTCTCATACCCCAAGAGGGAGTCAAAGAGTCAATAAAATTCTATTCTATTCCATTCTATTCTATGCCCAAGATATCATACTGTCCAGGCCAATTAAGAATTGTGAAATACTTGCATTAGCACTTAATGTAGATTAATTACTACTCTCATCAGTGATGATTTTGTCTAATACGGTGAGTTTGTGGGAAGGGAACACTGTACATGTACCTAGAAAGAAGAGATGCTATACTCGCAATCCAAGTGCAGTGAATAATAAGCACTCTGCATCACTTGCCAAAAGGTTTGTTTTTGGGGACTAGATTTTGGCATACCTGCAGAATACCTCACCAAGCTTCAACACAATGTATTAGAGTTAGGGTTAGAGTCAGGGTCAGGGTTAGGGTCAGGGTCAGGGTTAGGGTCAGGGTCAGGGTCAGGGTTAGAGTCTGGGTCAGCCTGTCAGGGTTAGGGTCAGTGTTAGGGTTAAGGTAGGGATAAGGGTAAGGATTACAGTAGGAATTAAGTTAGGGTTAGGTTCAGGTTTAGATCCTAGGATCACTGTTAGAGTAAGCTAGGGTTAGGATTGCTTGTGTGGTGGGGTTATTCTTCTTCCAAAATTTGTATTAATATTATCACTTACACACAAGTTACCTTCTTTTTTGAGTCTCTTCACACAGTCTTGAACCTCTGCATTGTATCTCTTGTAAGCAGCTTCGGTGTAAGCCAATGGGGACTGGCCTGGGATAGCTAACATACTCTCATCTGCCATGAATGGGGCATGTTCAGGTGCTCCTGCTGCTAACACAGCTGTAATGAAAATATAATTTAAAAATGAACTGAATGAACTATATTTTTTCATATTCTACCATGGTTGTGAGAGCACTAAATTATTCATAAACTTGGCTTTGAATGTTTACAAGACAAACTATTCTGAAAATCCATTTACTTAAATTGAAAAGTTAGCATTCCTTTTTAGATTAGAGTAAATCAAAAAGTATATCCTTTCCATCCTCTGAATACTTCTAAAATCATAGATAGCATAAGAGGATTATAGGCACAATATAATTACTCCTTCATCCCGAACAGACAACTAAATAACCGTATCAATCAGACAATTAATCATCCCTTCTAAAAAAATATTTTTAAAAAATCTTTGGACAACTACCTCCTACCCCAATTGCCTCAGAACGGCTATCCCTGGATTATTAATTGTCTGAGAAAAAAAGGGGTTATAAGGGACAGTTCTCTGCATTTATTAAAGTGTCATAAGTGACCTCAGGGGAAAGTTATGTCCAAGGGGATCCAATAGCTGTCAAGACAGGGAACAAAACAGTCTATCAAAGTGAACTACCGGTATAGCGTTCCCTTAAAGGTCTGTATTCAATGATTCAGAAAGACCACCTGCTCATAGAGAACTCTGTTCTTACCTCCCTTGAGTGATCTTTATACATAGGTTTCACTCTATTACTTCTTGGGTCATAGATGCTTTTTATCAAGAGAAGCATACTTGGAGCTCTGTCTAATCAAGCCTGAATTAGAGAGGCATCTGGAATCAGGTTTTTGCCTGAAAACTAGCAATCTTAACTCAGTACCTGAAGCTGTTGCTGGACCCACTGCCTTGAGGACAATCAGCTCTTTGATGGCAGCTCCTACATTGGGCAGCTTCTTAAAGGCTTGTCGGCTAGACTTCTCAACCAGGTCTGAGCTATTGGTCTGGACCATTTCAGTCAACCTCGGACGAAACTTTCCTCTCTGGTAGAAAAGAAAAAAGGAGAGAAAAAAAGAGACTTTTACTACCGTTACTTATTTCTTCTTTAAATTTAAAGAATCTGTAGGACTTCAAAATCTGCTCCACAAAATCAATCTGCATATTTTGCAGTATAATAACTTACTGGTAAGGTAAGGGATTATTCTTCTTCTTTTTTTCTTTTTTTACAATATGGTTTTATTGGAAGTTTCTGCCAAAATATGAAATATATTAAAGAATATACTCACACTCAATTTCCACTTCATAAGCTTTGCCAACTCCTCATGTGTAATGTATCTTTCTTTCCTCTCTTGTATGGCCTGTGAAAGATCTGTTTGAAACCTGAGTACATAGAGCAAACAAGATAAATTATTCATTTCAAGTAGCAACTTTTTACACCTAAAAACAAAGTTCACAATCATGTAGAGGAGGGGTGGTTACATTTTTAGTCTTTAAATATTTGAACAAAATTAATACTTTATTTTAAAACTCTTAAAACACTCAGAGTCGAATATAGAATTCTGTCTTTTGTATATTTTTAGAAAATGAAAAGGATGATTTGTATTAAATAGTCTAGATTCTAGATAAACTTCGACTTCAAATGTAAAATTTTTATTAAAAAATTACATCTAGGTCTAGAAGTAGAATAGAATATATTTTACTTCAGATTTACATTTATTATGCCATAAAGTTCAATCATTAAATCATCTTATCAATTCTATGGTTAGAACTTAGATATTAGTTCCCCTCCCCCTCGTAAGTTGTGCTTTCTTTTTTCCGTTTCTCTTGCTATCAATATGTCATGTGTTTTACAAGTTTACAACACACTAGACCAGTGAGACCTTGACCCCGTCTTACAAAGAGTTGCAATTGATCCAAATCAATCGCAAGTCCTCCGATCAATCAAAAGTTTGCATAGTTGCAATTTTTACATTTTTATAAGGTGTTTTATTTCCTCAATACCAGAAGTAGTTCATATACCAGTAATCAAAATCATATAATTTACATCATAGGCATACTGACTTTACATCACTTTCAGAATAATCAAATACAATAGAAAAGTATAATTCTCAATTAACTGCTAAACAAAACAACTCTTTCATACAATTCATACACTTCCTTACTCGTTTAAAACAATAATAGTTAATAATAATAATAATGATAAAGCAATTAGTCATTTCATGTTCATTTTTTTTCTTTCAAAAACGCTTTATCTGTTGGACTTTAAAGTAAACAAAATTTAATTATAAATTCTTGTACATGAAATAATATAATCTGTCAATAAAGTGTTGAAACAAAAAGCACTACTAATTCTGAAAAGAGAAAAACTCCCCAGAGAGAGAGAGAAAACTCCCCAGAGAGAGAGAGAAAAACTTCCCAGAGAGAGAGAGAGAGAGAGAGAAAGATATAAAATTTAAAAGATAAAAAACAAAAACAAAAAACAAAACCACAAACACAAACTCAAAACAAAGAAAAACTGCCGGGATAGAGGGCTAGGAATTGGAAGTTGCTTCTTTCAAGTGTATTTATATCACACAAAACCTTCAAACTCACTCGACTCCCATTCTTTAAAAATGAATTGAAAGAGTAGGCCTATACTATAGACTCTATTCTAATTTTTTCCATTGCAATTCAAGTTGTGATTAATATCAACTCTTAAGACAAGGCCCTTTATTTTATATACAAATCTGTAGAATTTAAGACCTAGATATCTAGTCTACATATATATTTTGCCCTTTAATTTGTTTATAGTTGAAATTAGATCCTATTCAAACTAGCCAAAGGATCGATTTGTCTAACTAAATGAAAAATGTTAATTTTTTTTTTTCTAATTCTAAATCTTAACCTACCACTTGTCAAGGTCCAGCAAATTCTTGCTTCCACCAGGCTTCTGGATCTTGGAGGCCTTGAGTTTCAGGACCTGGTTGTAGAGTTCAAGAACCTTGGTCCATTCTTCAGCAGAAGCCGACTTGAAGAAATTGTTCGTGACAGACATTGTGAGTGTGACAGAATCGGAATCAAAATGCAACATCCACTGCACGGGTACGGAGATGCACGCATCTTTTGGGGTGAAGCTTTTCTTCACACACCTAATCGGAGATGAAGGTAGCCCATCCAATGTGTAAAAATTGCCAATTTGATAAGTGTAAGGATCGCATTGTACACATACAACCGCTATACTACACACACGCAATATATTCTTTGTGTATTGTATCCGCCAGGCATGATCAGTGCAACGATGGCTGGCTACCAATTAAAATAGGCATGGTGATCGGATAAAATGAGAGTAGATGATGGAGGGGGGGGGGGGGGGGGGGGGGGGGGGGGGGGTAAAGCGCAGTACTTAGGGGCAAATCAAAGAATTATACTAAGACCTCACCTCATGTATGTTAGAAATTAAAAAGTTATTATCTTCTTTTGAATTGCAATAATCCCCGCACCATAATTATAAGTCATGCATGAATGTTATTTGTCATATGTTATATATTTGAAAGGTGGTACACGCAGAAACTATTCACCATTATGTCACTGTCATGTACATATTTTCTATGGATATAATTTTTCACGATCTCAACTCTTTACCACATCAGCGTCATGACGGATAAAGTGGAATATTTATTCTTCACCACCCTATACGCTAACTTTTCACCACCCTAGCGTCATATACATTATAACCTAGAGTATTCTTCACCACCCTACGCTAACTTTTCACCACCCTAGCGCCATATACAGTGTCTATGGATAAACTGGAATATTAATTCTTCACCACCCTACGCTAACTTTTCACCACCCAAGCGTCATGTAACATTGTCTATGGATAAACTGGAATATTAACTCTTCACCACCCTACGCTAACTTTTCACCACCCTAGCGTCATGTACATTGTCTATGGATAAATGGTAATATTAACTCTTCACCACCCTACGCTAACTTTTCACCACCCTAGCGTCATGTACATTGTCTATGGATAAATGGTAATATTAACTCTTCACCACCCTACGCTAACTTTTCACCACCCTAGCGCCATGTACATTGTCTATGGATAAACTGGAATATTAATTCTTCACCACCCTACGCTAACTTTTCACCACCCTAGCGTCATGTAACATTGTCTATGGATAAACTGGAATATTAATTCTTCACCACCCTACGCTAACTTTTCACCACCCTAGCGTCATGTACATTGTCTATGGATAAAGTGGAATATTAACTCTTCACCACCCTACGCTAATTTTTCACCACCCTAGCGTCATGTACATTGTCTATGGATAAACTGCACTATTAATTTTTCACCACCCTACGCTAACTTTTCACCAACCTATAGCGCAATGTACATTGTCTAAGGATAAAATGGAATAATTATTAACTCTTCACCACCCTACGCTAACTTTTCACCACCCTACAGCGCCATGTACCTTGTCTATGGATAAACTGCACTATTAATTTTTCACCACCCTACGCTAACTTTTCACCACCCTATATATGCCATGTACATTGTCTATAAACTGGTATATTAACTCTTTACCGTGTTAGTTGTGTTAGTTATGCCTATGCCTTCACGGTGACCATATGGTAGGAATACTCCCCAGCAGAGGCCGCCCTCCTGTGGGGGGGGGGGGGGGGAGTAGGGGCACAGTGCCCCCCCCCACTTTTTCAAGCACCCGAAAAGTGCCCCTTTTTACATAGGAATAGTGCTCCTTTTACTCTGATAAGTGCCCCTTTTATTTTGACACGTGCCCCTTTTCCTTCGACAAGTTCCCATTTTCCATTACAATAAGTGTCCATTTTCCATTATCGTAAGTGCCCTCTTTAATCTCTAGTACTAGGGTAGATGTGGGGAATTGGAGACCCTTAAGCACATTTTCATAATTTACATAAACATGAAAAATGTTACACATACAGAAAGTTTTGTTTTCTCTTTAGTAACTTCTTCTCTTTATTGGGAAACGAATGATGTAACTGATTAATAAGATAAAAAATAATTTATGACGTCATCACCAGGTCTCTCATTACCAACATGCGTAGGTAATAAGGAACAGTTACAAATCAAGACATTTCAAATCAAGACATCAAGACAAAAATGGGATTGTTATAGTTAGTTCAAACACTTTTTGAAAGAGATACATGCAGCCAATGAACTTACTGTAATTTTGAAACGATTTTGAAAGAAGAAATTAATCCCATGTTATCCGCTTGTTATGCTTTATAATTCATTGATATTACAGTATATAACATATTGCAATTTAGTATGGGCAACCAGCGCCAAAATCAAAATCAACTCTATTTATTTATTGAAAAAGAAAGCCCTTCGTATTATGTACTGGTTCACCATTATTTATCTCACACAAGTCCAATATTTTACAAACTGAAAACCCTTACAGTATTCGACATAATTTCGCTACAATGTTTACTGATCATGTTTAAGTATTTAAAAAATATGCTCCCTCTTTCATTTCAAAACTTTTACACTATGATTAAAGCTATTCACTCTTACCCTACTCGTAATTCCTCAAATTTTCATCTAGTATACCCGAAATAAATCCATAAAACACCATGGTCCTGACCTATGGAACTTTCTCCCAGAATCTATTAAATCATGTTGCTCCCTCTCAGGGCCGTAGCCAGAGTTTGATGTTTAGGGGGGGGGGGGGGGGGGGGGACACATACATGTAATTGATCGACGTTCTGGGGAGGGGTCTAAACAATTTCAATTTGGGGGGGGGGGGGGCACGTGCCCCCCCCCCCCCCCCGTGGCTACGGGCCTGCTCACTCTGCTCATTTAAGGCCAAAGTTAAAACGATGTTATTATCAGAATACTCAAGGTAGAATTTCTGTGTCAACTCTTTATTGTTTATCATGTCATCTCTTCTTTCATTCGAATCATTATCATCTTCATCATCATCATCATCTTCATCATCATCATCATCATCCTCATCTGCATTGTCAATATCACCATCATCGAAATTTGTATTTTCAATTACCTATCCGTATCTGCTTAATATGTGTTAATATATTCATGAGTTTTTGTCTGGGGTTGTCGTTTTATCAAGCAATCTGCTTACAATGACAGTCCTTCTTCCGCAAATGATTGTTTAATGTTTTATACTGTTTGAGGAAACTTTAAGTTTCCTCAAACATTATAAAACAAATACTAAGTTAGTATTTATGACATTTTATATATTATATATATATATATATATATATATATGTGTGTGTGTGTGTGTATTTGCTAATTTATGATTCATTGTCAGAAAAATACTTATTGTACTTTATATTATTATTGTTATCGAAAAACTGAATGATTACACGAATGCAGAAGAAAATATAATCAAATCAAAATATACTTATGTTAATTATCTAAGGTCTTTTCAGTCTTCCGTTATGAAAATGTACTTATAACCCTATCAGGATTGGGTTTTTTCCTCTTTATAAGATGTAATTTTTCGCACTGCGACCTCACAAATCTTAACACTTTTCCTCGCTCGCAAATAAATGTTCAGACCATCACACCCAACTGCAAAGCATGATGCATTATGCAATATCTTGTATGGTGTATAAAGTGAAACAAATATTGAAATCATCCCTGATAATGTAAACACAATGTAGGGTTATATACCGAAGTCTAAACAGTGTCTATTTTCTCTTTGAGATTTCCCTTTGTAGCCTAGGTGCCTTTTTTTCTTCAGAAAGTGTCCTTTTTTCTTGGTGCCCCGCCCCCCCCCCCAACTTTCGAAGTCGCTCGGCCGCCCCTTTTCCCCAGTGAGTGGAGACTACAAACTTGCGATTGATTGGAGGACTTACGATTGATTTGGATCAATCGTAACTCTATAAGACGGGGACAAGCTCTCATGAAAATCTCACAATGATACACATCTGAAGTTTGAAAACAATATTAAGACTGCGGACACCAGAATATTTCGAAAACTAATAAACATTTATTGAGAAATTACAGGAAATGCCAATGTATACATGACTTTTTTTCCCTTTCAATTCTATTTTCTCTTCTTCGTTCTCGTAGACATAGCCTCTACGGTAATACATGGCAACATTAGAATAAAGAATCAGTACTAGTACTATATAGATCAGGCGCGCCGGAAACAGTTTGGGATGGGGGGGGGGGGGGGTTGGGGGTGGCAAACATTCAGGGGGCTCGCTTTCCAGGGGCAGTGACGTAATGAGTAAAAAAACGTTCGGAAGGGGGGGGGCAGACGAAAAAATCTGCAACACCACCAGTCTTACATGTTACATGCAGCTCCCGCGGAACGTTTTTCAAAGTGGAGTATTAACGATCAGGTAGAGCGTAAATTGGCGTAGGGTCCAGGGCATGAGTCTCGGTAGGGGGTTCAAGGGGCTGAGCCCCCGGAAGCTCAGGGGTTTTAGGTATTAAACTACGGTTAGATGAGCATCCAGGGGCCCTCTTTAAGGCCATTGACGTGTTCCAGGTGGGGAGCCCCCAGAAGCCCAGAGGTTTTAATATTTAACTACAGTCAGATGAGCATCCAGGGGCCCGCCCTATAGTGGGTCCAGGGGGCAGAGCCCCCGGAAGCTCAGGGGCTTAGGTATTTAATTACGGTCAGATGAGCATCCAGGAGCCCGCCTTAGGGACATTGGTGGGGTATAGGGGGCATAACCCCCGAAAGCTCGGGGTTTTTAGGTATATTACGGTCAGATGAGCATCAAGGGGGCCGCCTTAACCCTAATAAGGCCGGGCTATTTGAAGTCTTAGTAGGGCCGGGGGGGGGGGCCATTATGGCCCCCCCTCAAGATCTCGGCCGCGAAGCGGCCGATCGCCGCGAAAATTTGCACGCATGTCAAGTGAAGTGTAAAGAATAATATGATCATTTCAATTTTTTGAAAAATTCACTCATTTGCATATTTATGGTAATTTATGCAAATAAAGTCATAAAAATCACATTTTTACCAATAAATCATATATTATTCATATTTAAGCATTCTTTTTCACTAGATATATTCATTAGACCATTCTGAATAATAATAAGACAAAAAATTGGAAGAGCCAGCTTATTTCTTATGTTATCCCTTGTTTTGATAATTTCTTA